TCATCGATGCCATTTCTTATCCAACGTGTCTTTGAAATGAAACGTTTCCATTGTGACGTCATAATATAAATAACGTTATAGATACATATGTTTTGTAACAAATACATAGTAACGCTATGGATACTTAAAATTTTATTCAGCAAAGTTTTCGATACTCTAAAGATTCTTATACTGGTTCCATTTTTTTTTTCAAAATGGATACCAATTCCGAAAATTTGAAACGGGCTCCGAAAGCTTTTGAATTTTACAAAATCATTTCCAATAAGGAAAATTTAATATCATATTTAATGGAAATAAGCATCTTACAAAATCGTATGGACTGTGTAGTATGTGGATCGGAAATGAATTTAGTGAAGCGAAAAGATTTATCCGATCAGGCTCAATGGAAATGCCCATGCTGTATTTCATCTTGTTCGATTAGGAAAAATTCAATCTTTGAGGTAGGAAACATTTTCAATGAAAAAGGAAAAAAAAAAACATTGATCCGTAAAGATTCAAAACAAACAATTATTTTATTAAAACATTATCAATTTATTACACTGTTATTCTAAATTTTATAAACTATTTTCATTTTTTTCACAGAATTCCAAATTATCACTGGAAAAACTCACGGAAATATTATATTACTTTAAATGGATTTTCAAATTTATGAAATTGAGAAACTGGTTGATGTTAATCATGGCACAGTTATAGAGTGGTTTCGCAAATTACGATCGATGACATCGCAATTTTTAAAGAATGATCCAATTACACTTGGAGAAAGTATGGGAATTATAGAAATTGACGAAAGCTTATTTGGAAAAAAAAAGAAAATATAACAGAGGAACAGGAAGACAGGATACGTGGGTTTTTGGTATGGTTGAAAAGGGAACCAGAAAAGTCATTTTTCGGGTAGTGGAAAAGAGAAATAAAGACACTCTATTACCTATTATTTAAGAATCTGTTTCCGAAGGTTCTACAATTCATTCAGATTGCTGGTCAGCATATAACACTTTGGTTGAAGAGGGATTTGTGCACAAAACAGTCAATCATTCTAAAGAATTCTTAGCCAGTGATGGAACATGTACCAACGAAATTGAGGGCCTTTGGGGTATTACGAAAAACAAAATCAAGAAAATGAAAGGCATTCTGCACGACAAGATCCAGGATGTTTTGCATGAATTTTCATATAGAAATCGATACGGATTTTCAAATGGCGATGTTTACCAAAAACTTATCGATGACATCGGTCATACCGTTTCCAATTTTTAAAACTTAACAATATAGTCATCTCATATAATTTGTTTATATTTTCATTTCTTACTTCATTTACACAATGACTTCTCAAATAATTTGTAAATTGTCCAAAAATTATAATCATCAATCTGAATTTTGTATACTATAATATCTAGGAAACATTGAATCCCTTGTTTTTTAATACGTATAATCATTTCATATTTATTGTGATCTTTATACCCTGACGACCTGTCGACCCATAGACTTTTAGACATGTAGACCCGTAGAACTATAGACCTGTAGACTTGTTGACCTGTCGACCTGTAGACCCGTAGAACTGTAGACTGTAGACTTTTTGATCTGTTGACCTGTCGACCTGTAGACCCTTAGACCTGTAGTCCTGTAGACCTGTTGACCTGTAGACCCGTAGAACTGTAGACTGTAGACTTTTTGACCTCTCGACCTGTAGACCCGTAGACCTGTAGTCCTGTAGACCTGTAGACTTGTTGACCTGTAGACCTGTAGTCCTGTAGACCTGTAGACTTGTCGACCTGTAGACCTGTAGACCCGTAGAATTGTATACCTGTAGACCCAAAGACCTGTCAACCCGTAGACCTGTAGACCTGTAGACCCGTAGACCTGTAGACCTGTCAACCCGTAGACCTATACACCCCTAGACCTATCGAACAGTATTTCTGCAGTCATGTAGACCTGTATCCGAACTATCAACCCATAGACCAGTCTACCTGTAAACCCATATAACTTTCCATTCGTAGACCTATATACCTATAGATTACCCTTTGACCTGTATACCTGTCAATCTGTATACCTTTCTACTTGTAAACTTGCCGTAATACATACACATTCATAATTATATTCATGTTTGATATAAATATTTCATCATTATTATTCATACTTATTCAAATTCTAAAATAAATAATATTTACATAACGACTGATTTCTTATTTAATTAATACATGTAGTAATGAATATTGCGCATTAATATACCAAAATATTTCAAATCAAATCCGAACTACTTTTCCGTACATGTATAACCAACTTGGGCCTGTAATACTAACAGATGTGTAGGCATTGAATATTCAGTTTATTTAGACATACTTTAATGTAATATAATTTAATATAATATAATATTAGAGTATTATGCACTTGACGGACATTTAAGGCTAGAGAATTTGGTCCCTTTAGGGATGGAAAACCTTTAATCGGCCAAGCTTATCCCTGGGCGCAGCCATTGCTACGGACCATAACTCTTGTCAAGTAACGATAATTTATGACTTCTGATTTCCTAGCGACAAGGACTGGAATCAAGGGCAGAGAACCAGAGCTACTCTGAGAATTGCCGAGATCGACGCAATATCGGTTAAAATCGGAACTTTTACCGGAATTGCTTTGTAAAACATTTAAATCCTTCAGTGATTTAAATAAATAAAACAAATAAATTTGTGGTTCAGTGTTCATTATTTTTAAAAGTTGTCCTCTCTTATTTTAAAGCACATCTGCACCGTTCTATCCATGCGCGAATCACGTGGTCTAGGTGATCACTTGACATGCTCTGAAGCAGTGTGTTTATAGACGCAGAAATATTTTTTCCGAGTATTATATTTCTTACCAAGCAAGTTAATTTTATAGCGAAAACAACCTAATAAAATTTACAAATAAGACAACAATGTTACCTTCAAGCAGCAGATTATTAATACCCTATGACGGTTTTTCAAGTGCTACTTATTTTTACAAATCTTTACGAGTTTTAAAATTCCGTAATTTTTGAACGCGCAAATATCACAGAAGTAAAGAAAAAAAAAAGAAAACAAAGCTTCGCCTAAATTTTAACATCGTATGTATGAGAGTTTTGCTATAATTGCCATTTAGCTAAGTACTTGAGGGCTATGGAATGAGTATTGTATGGTACTTTTTAGCACTTAAAAATAGATCATCAGTTAGGATCAAACATTTTCAAGTAAAATCTTAATTAACTTGCATAATGAAGGATAGGGAAATAACGAACAGTATTCAATATCAAAGTACAGTAAACAATACAAAATAGAAGCAGAGCAAACAAGGACCTTTAAACATTAAAAGTGGCATTGAGAAGTGAGCATCCCGTGTCGACCGGTCACAGCCGCCTTGTGCCCCCTGTCACGATCGGGAAACATAAGAAAAAATCCGTCGTCAATTCAGTGTATGAATAATGGACTAACAATTAGAATGAAAAAAGTCAGTCAACATTTGACTCAAAGATAAATTGTATTTGCTGACAAGATCATTGTGTCTACCATAGAATTTACGAAAGGATAACTTCAAACGAGACTGTTGATATTCTTCTTTGTCTATAATATACCTCGTTGTAGATATTGTTCATGCAAAGAGCATGTTTTTGCTCATCGAATCAACTGAGATTTATATAAATTCCCTACGCATGTCATGAAGGTATACTGCTGCATAAGTAAGGGAAGTTGACGAAAGAAAAGTTAAAGTCATTGCGTTTTTCATAGAGCTTGGTTAGAGTACCATTAACATCTTTTTCAAGTAAAAACTCCAAGTATGAAACAGACTCTGTGGTATTTTTTTTTAATCTCAAGTTCACCAGGATGTATCCTATCGACTTAGAAATAGAAATTACCATTTTTGATTGACAATACGCCGTTGATATATCTATGTTGAGTTGAAGGCCAAACAAGTGTTTTCTTCTTTTCATGCATAAGATTTTGCACAAATTCTTCTTGATATGAATACAAAAATAGGTTTGCTTACAACAGTTAATACTTATGGGAATTTCAATAGATTGTTGGAAGACCTGGTCTACTAAAACCGCATAGATATTGTTAATAAGAAACATAAGCATCTTTTTGCTGTTAACTTCAGAGCACTTGCGTATGCAATCAGAATGTGTTTACAATTTTTAAATGAACAGGTAAGTACTTTTACTAGTTCCATTTTTATTTAAAAATGCAGCTGTCAATGATATCAAAAAGCTTGGAATTAAATTTATCATGGGGAATGGTTCTGTTTAAGTTGTACAAACACCGTCAATTACCTGGTTACTCTTACATGTACGAGACACATCATTTTTGTAAATGAATCAATAATCACATGTTTTCAAGTACTCTAGTTATACTGTATTTTATTGTACATATTTCATAATTGTATCCTGTAGTTCAGTTTCAGAGAATAAACTCTTGATTGATTGATTGATTGATTGATTGATTGAGTAAGAGATATCTATATACTGATTTTTTTAATATTAGGGATCCTACTGTGTCTTTGGCAGAAAATTTGAATTGTAACTGTGGCGGAGAACATTTAACTGTGCTGAACCAATTGGTATATAGGAAACAGAAAGATAAATATTTTTACCCTCAACATTTATGAATTCAAAGGATAATATCCTATATATTCTTTAATGGTTTACACAAATAATTTGACTTTTCAGAAATGTAACTTCATTAATGGACAAAGAAATCGAGGACGTCTTCAAAAAGTGAACACATCAATAACCATGTGTTATTATTTCATCACAACAAATAATTTTCATGAAGACTATAACAACAATCAAAAAGCAGAAACAATAAGAATCATTACATATCAATAAGGCATTCATTTTGTTTGTCAATAATTAGCATGATTTTAACAACTTTATTTCTTATTTCAATGTTGTTGTGTGTGCATTGAGCTCTTTAAAGATTCTTGTAAAAAATCGAACATTTGTAAAGTAATTCAATGTTCTTGAAACAAATTTTAAACTTGTTTTTTGAATTTGTACACATTTACAAAGAGGCAATGTCCATTGAATCAATCCTGGCTTCTCTTTGGAATCCGACAGGTTTAACCCGGTACATATGCACATATTTAGGTATCTTCTTCCTCGCTATCAGCGTCATGATAATGAAGAATATAGATAAACAGATGATTATTCCAATGAGCAAGGTCTTGTGTTTTGTATCTAATAATGTCCATACGGAAGGGTTTCTTTTGGAGTCTAGAAAAGAAAGCAAAATGTAAAAGAATAGCAGTTTGTAAAATATTGAAGCATGATTGAAAGTTATATGTAGTCCTCATATGTTATTTTTTATTATTGATTTGTTTTAGAAAAAGGTTTTTGATTTCTGTTAATATGAATCATAACAAAAGTGAAATTTCTTATTTAATTTTCAACAAAATTATTAAACCTACCTTTTTGAAAACTATCCACTGAGTCAGAAAAAATATAAGCTATTTTACTTTTATTTTGTGGCATATCTGTGTCGTTTGACATAGGCAGAGTGCTCTGCAAGATAGTCAATTCCACAGTCGTTTCCAGCGTTTCTAGAAAAAATTAATTTGATTAGGTAAACATTTGCGACAATGTTTTGAAATGTATTCGATCAAAAAAGAAAGAAAATTCAAGCATATTTTAATTAATTAATGTAATTGCATTTTTAAATGGAATTATCGAAGTAGTACAGAGAAACACTCTTTATGATTGAATAATCAATAAAGCAATATGTCAGTTAACTATGATAGTTCGTCAGTATTTTTTTTTTTGGGGGGGGGGGGGGTGTCAATCATTTAAAATATATTAAGCTCATTTGATTTGCAACTAATAACGTATTTTTTAAAAAGTCAAAATCTGTAACCTTTGCATCCTGACACATGGCTACATTCTGCCTCACCACACATACATCGTTTCTGACAATCTGCTCCAAAACTTGGATATCGACATTTTATCTCACAATTTTTACCAATAAAGCCATCAGAACAACCTAATGAAAAGAGCAATAACAAACATTAGACGAGGTATTAACTACTGTATAATTCATAATATTTAATAAATAATTTATTTAAAACAAACGCAGCATTTGGGGGACTGGTATTTATGTAGTTTTTTTTTTATAAAGAAACCCATGCACTGACGTAGAAATCTAGGTTATATATAGGTTATATAATAGCTATCGTATTTATACTGAACGTGTCTGAAATATGTTAATTTATTAACTTATTAAAAAATTAGTTTATATATCTGTAAAATAAATGGCAAACCATAAAAGACCTTTTTGATAAAAGGAAAAAGAACGTGAAAAAACGTCCGAATTGCATGTTAGATACTAGTATTTAATTCAATAATTGTTTATTAATCTAAACGAGACCATAAATGTTCATTTACCTTCAGCATTTTGAATCAAGAGCAGCGATAACGTCAATAAAAACGGGAATAACATGGAGGTGATGTGATTTTATAATTCCCATCCTATTGTAACCATTTCCATGATCATATGCTTTATTTGTGTTTGATAATTTTTAATTCGAACTTGTTTATATATATATATATACTTTTTTCATGTTGATAGAAATACTTTTAAACGGAACAGGGAAATTTAGAAATCGGAAATTATTACAGCTTACTCTATATATTGTTTCACTCGAATTAATATATTTATATATTTTGATTTAAATGAAAAAAGCGATTTTCGTACTTAATGTTTGATATATTTAATTACACTGAAATTAATTTTATAAATACATTGAATAGAAAATTTTGCATATATTGTTTTAAAAAATAAGGAAAACAATGCTTGGTTCGAAACTTGCAGCTAAATATTGAGGCACGACTAAAACAATTTTTTATCTTATATCAAGTAAAATTTCATTTTATGAATGCATATTTCTTTCGTGGAATAGATAGTATGTGGACAATGTAAATGTTTAAGCTTCAGTTTTAGGAAAAAAGAGGTACCTGAACATCCTAAATTGCTATCTATGTATTAATGTTGAAGTAAGAATTTTACTTAATAAATAATTCTTGTACAGAGCATAACATTTTGAGTTTTCCAAATGCAAAATTCATTCCGAAAAATCTGTCTAGAAAATAATAATAATCGATTAATTTTTTTTTCTAAAGCAAGCAGGGTATTTGAAAGAATTATCTCCATTGGCTTTGTCTTCTAACTCTTCTAAATCATAGATTCGCCCGCGTGGTGCAATGGTTAGAGCGTCTGCTGTAGAATCGCGAAGTAAGGAGTCAATCTTTACGTTGCAGGTTCGAATCCAAATGTGTGACGTGGAGACCGATTCTTCGGATGAGACCATATAAACGGAGGTCCCGTGTCGCAGTAGGTGCTGGCTTGAAAAAGATCCCTCCCTGCTCAATGGACCTGAGTGTCGAGTACAGGACAAAATTTGCAGCTCTCCACCGGCAAGTGGTGGCGTCTTCATATGAGTGAAAAATTCTCGAGAAGGACTTTAAACAATATACAATCAATCAATTTAATTCATAGAATGAATACCTATTGAGGAGGTTTGCTTTGACTGCAATTTACAGCTGTGGTTTGGAGGGCAATTATTCCTTCCCAACAAGAGAAAACTTAATGACACACACATTATTTTCCTTGATCAAACAGACAAACACCAAATATTGAAACATAACAAATATGTGTTTCGTAGCTGATTAGTCCTAAGAAGGGTCAGATAGGTATATACGATTTTTTAACAGTCCGTACAAATTCAAAGACACAAAAGAATTTAAAAACACATCATTATGTTATTTGATGAAAATGGATATTTTTCAATGCATTTTATTGTTATAAATCTAGTGAAAATTGGACTGGACTGTGTAGCAAACGAATTGTTTAAAGTGATGACTTTCGTAAATAATTGTGTATTGTTTTGAATTTTAAAAATTAAATAAATTATAATCTATACTTAAAGATTATTCCTAGCACTTTGCAGTGTGACATCATAAAGAAAATGTAGTGTGTCCATGAACATGTATTAAAAATTAAAAATCCGCAAGTTTGACGTTATAATGAAATTACATTAACGTCAGACTGGTCCGTGAGCACTATCCACGAAATTTTAAGGCCTCGATTTTACAAAAATATAAAGTTCCATCAATTATCATTAAATCTTTCTGACTTCTGACATAAGAAATATTTTGATATGCATTAAACACATGTATAAATAGTCATTGTTCACGAACATTTGGAATTTTTTTTTTTGGACAACCCTTTTTTAACATTTTTGTCCTTCCTAGTACTGTATAGCAAATGTCAGTCTACACCGGTGTCGACTGATTGCATTGAACAGTAACTAAGTCAGGTCTTTATATAGCGAAAGTCCGATCAAAAATGACGGACACATCATTTTTTGGGAATCGTGTAAGCTTTAAACTCACAATTCACACTCCGAGGAGAAATTCCTTCTAATTCGTATGTCATATTTTATTTTGTTTTAATCTCCCATTAAACCAAATTGAATGTAAATAACCATAACATTACTATATAGACTAGATATATCCAGAAAAATGAACAAAGACAAAGCAAGGCCTATTAAAGGTTCCTTCAAACGTCTCTTTTTACCTCTCTAAAAATATTCACGATAGTGAAAGAAAATTGCAAAAGAAATTATGTTTGAAAGCAGATTCGATAAGTGTGCAAATCGAATTTGTATACAAAAAATCTCCATTAACTTTTTAGCACATAACATTTAGTATTGTACCAAAATCAGTATCAACAAAGGTTCAACTTTTAACCCTTTTGACATATACATGTACTTGATAAATTGCAGACTTATATTTGAAATTATCGTCCCCAGCTTTTACGAAAGCGAAGGGACATTAAATCTCATTCGTCTGTCCGTCTGTCTGTATCTCTGTCAGTCTGTCCGTCCGTTACAAAAACTTTAACCTTGCCCATAACTTTTGATTTAGTGGAGCTATGACTGTAATATTTAACATGTGTATTCCTTGTGACAAGACCTTTTTTTTTAGGAAGTTTGACCTTGTATTTTTACCATCTTTTACACAAAAATTCCAAACTTTTACTTTGGCCATAACTTTTGAATGGTAGGTACTAGGACTTTCATATTTCACATATGTATTCCTTGTAGCAAAAGCTTTTATTGGATACCAACAACTTTGACCTTTTGACCTTGACCTTGGAGATTCTCGTACTTATGAAAAAAACTTAAATCATAACTGTTACTGATAAGGGCTAGGGCTTTTATACTACATATATATGATTCTTGTGAGAAGACCTTTTATTGAATACCAAGAACTTAACCCCTTGGACCTTGACTTTGGATTTGACCTATTTTTCAAAAACTTTGACCTTGGTCACAACTTTTGAACAGTTGATACCAGGACTTTCACATATGTATTCTTTGTGGCAAGACCTTTCATTTGATACCAACAAACTTGACCTTTTAACCTTGACTTGAAGATTTTTTGTACTTATGAGAAAACTTTAACCTTGACCATAATTTTTGAATGGTAAGGGCTGAGGCTTTCATACTTCACATATGTAATCCTTTTGAGAAGACTTTTCATTGCTTCTAAGAATGTTAACACTTTGACCTTGACCTTGGAGTTCAGTGATAATTTTTAAATAGATGACTTATGATAGGACGTTCATATTAGACACAAAATGTCATGAAAAATGACATCTCATCCTAAAAAGACTGCACCGAAATCAAGGGACCACAATTCTTTGAATTTGCTTGTTTGCAACTGTTATCGTCTATGATAGAGTACTCGTTAATTGACAGACCTTGTCTTGATCAGCTAAAAGGTTACTGTGATAAAAACAGTCTGTTTCTGTAGATACAGGACATCTGATCCCACCTCTGATGTTTTGGAGGTCCGTGTTTGCTCTGCTCCTATTTTGTATTGTTTATGGAATTTTGATCTTATAAACTGTTTGTTGTCTCCATAGGTTTCATACATGGATACTGAAAGGTTGATGTTTAGGATTTTCTCAGTTACAATACAAGGATCGTTCGATAAATGATGCAACGTACGAGAGTCTAGAAGTACGTTTAAAGGCGACTCAATCACAAGAGTCCACTTTCAAGACCACAGTTGATCTCGTGATCTCACAATATATAGAGTTACCAAAGAATGTCGATGTTGTGAGCACCATATTATATCTTTTCGGATCTTTTTTAAAGTTTGGCAAACCGAACAGTTCATCATCTCAGTTTTCAAAGTTCTAACAATTTATATATGATTTTAAAACTAATTTTACATCAAATGGGTGCATAATTTTTACAGTGAACTCCAAATACTGTAAAGGCTAACACAGAATAGTTTGGGGCCTTTTTAATAGAAAATATTTTGCTGCCTTTCAAATATGAAATACTTTTTTTTTTACATTTCCCTTTCTTATATTTAGATCTAATTCATATTTAATGTTCGTTCGTTCTGCGTACCTTGGTATTTTCAGCAATTTATTGGAATTCTAGTGATAACTGATTATACTCAATAATAAGCATGCACATTTTCATATGCAAATTAAAGAGATTTATTTTAAAGAACTAAATGCAGCATATTGCATATATTTGCCCCCACAAAAGTCAAATTTTGAAAAATTCTGGAAATGTGCTGAATTCCATAAATTGTATTTAAAAAATGAATCAACAGAACATATTATAATTTCAAAGTAGTTTATTGATTATTTTTGTTTTTATGACGTCACAAATTCGTCCTATTTTATATCATTTGTTAGAAAAAGGACAAAATGGACGAAATTTCAACAATTTTACCTATAGAATTTATAGAGCGCAAGTTTGTTCAGGAACGATATTTATATATTTGATTGATCTTATCATTCTACACATAATATCAAAATATTGAGCCTAAACAAACATGCGCTCGGTGATTTTTTTCTCAAAATATCGACGTAAAATATCTATTTTCTGTAGAAATCATGGAAATTTTAAATTTACGTCATTTTCGTGACGTCATTTCAAACATATGACGTCATTGCTCATGAAAATATTCAGTGCTTTGGAGTCAGCATTTATCCCTCTGTGTTAGAACATAATTAAAAAATTCTCCGTGAAAGTTTGATTTGGGGGGCAAAAATTGGTTATTACCGAATATAGTTCTTTGTACATGAAAATTTTATTTCTATTATGTAGTAAATTTATGTCCCCTAAACGCAAGATGATCTATTATACGTGCTAGAAAATTATGCTCACATGCACGAAAATTATATATCTATTTGCATAATAATTATATTGAATGAAGGTTACCAATCTTTTTTAGAACATCTAATATTAATGTTGGTAAATTTTAATACCTCACTATACATTATATAATCAAGATGATACATAATTATTTTGACATTTGACCAATTCATGTCAAAATGCAAGATTAATACATTAATATGCAAAATATTAATGTCAATATATGACTTATTTATGGTACACGTACGATGCTAGGTACTTTAGTAGAGCTGTGACTGATTTAAAATGTAAGCATGTAACTTATTTGATGATTTCAATGTAACAAACAACTATTCATATGCTTGTCAAAATGTCTACTGTATTAATCTTTCAACATGCAGGAAAACAAGTTGCATATCAACAAAATATGTTACATACAGTGCATATACTGTATACAGGGTTATTTTCGCCCCGTGTTATTTTCGCCCTTTTGCACTTGCAAACTATTTTCCCCCGATTTAAATTCGCGCAGTCATTGTTTTGTTTAAGAAATAATGCCGTGATATTTGAATTTGCACCGTTTTAAATTCGCCCAATCAGGAAGACGGCGAAAGGGGCGAATATAAAACGGGGGCGAAAATTTCCCTGTATACAGTAATTTTTTTTATATCACATGTTAGCGCAAATATTTTCACGCTGACATAAATAAGTTGCATGTCCACTACATAATTATCGGGCGTCATGATATAATCAAGTCACATGTATCGTGCATGTTACGTTACATCAATAATGCGCATGTTGACATAACATAATCATGTAACATATTCCTTGTATGATAGCATATGACAGCGTTAGGAAATATATAAACCATCATTAAAATTAGATTATCTGAAGCGATTGGTAACTTTCATGTCAACATTTTTTGGCAAGTTGGCAAAAGTAAGTCGTATGACTTCATATAAATATCTTGCCTGTTTAAATAATAATCTGGGTTGAAAAAGACATAAAATGCCAACATATGCTTTAGTTATGAATTTAATATTCAGATTTACTAATATTTTATTCAATTAACAGTCTTCAGTTTCATGTCAAAGTTGATCTAATGGATTAAAAAAATTCCACAATTTTTATTATCATATTTGGTACTTTAGCTTGATAGAGACTTCATTTCAAAATATGAACATAATTCTTCTTTGTTACAGCTTCAAAGAAAATGATTCTGTCTTTCTTATTGGAATGAATTGACAAACGATAGTGTGCCTAAAAACCTTTGTGTCGCCTGTTTTAGCTTTTTGAAAGATGTGACTAAATCTATGAGTGGTCAGCTATTTCTATGCTACTAGATGTATATGTATGCAGTATTTCATGCAAAAAAAAAAAAAAAAAAAAAACTAGCATGATGTTCATATATGCACAATAAGAATCCAAACATAGTTTAATACTGCGATATATTCCGTCGATCAAAAAATTTTCTCAACCCTTACATGAAAAATAAAGTTGAAATAATGTATATATGAACATAACCCACTGATAAAGTTGATCCATAGATACGTCGACTTTACAGAAAAGCATACTGACCGAGATTGAATCAAAGGGCTACATATGTTATAGTGCTTGTTTTTTTTACATAGATTGACAAAACACAATTTGAAAATAATGGGAACAAGGCAAAATTTTCCTTCTTTAATACCTTGAGACTACTGATCAAAACAGATATATTGAGTAAATGTAAATTAGAGAATTTACTAATTTAAAATATTTCATTTATTTGATCGTGTTTTGTATCAATTAAAAAAAGGTATTCAATATGTTATAAAGTAGATCGTAATTCTAGGCATTGTTACGTTTTGTCATATACAGAACATTACAAATATAAATACAAGTTGAATTATATACAGTATATTTATTTTTTTCAGAAATATCAAGCCATACATTGTATTTTCTATAATTGTGTAATAAAAACTATAATTGTTGTATAGAAAATTATCTCCAGTTTTAGAACCATCAAGTTGGTATGCATATCTGATTCGATAAATAGAAACTCAAGTTGAAATGCTTTTATAGACTTAATCATGTGATCATAATTGAGCATGTCAGAGATCTTGGAATAACTGATCAAAATAATATAGATAATTATTCATAATTTTATATTTTTAAAACTTAAATTTAACATAGAAAAAAAACTGGATTCTTTTACTTAAAAAACATTCATTTTAACTGCTTTCTTTCGACCTTAGTATGTTTTTATCATGTAAGGAAAAGCAGGTTGACTTATAAACTGAAAGTTTCATTTAAATAGCGAGTTTCCTTTTCATGTTTTCTTGTCCATTTAAAGTACTGAACGCGTGCACGGTTACTAACAGTTATCTTTACGTAAACAATTATGATGATAATGAAAAGAATTCCAAACAAGACTGTACAAACGAGCATGGCCTTGTATTTCATATCCATATCAGTCCACATGGGTTTGTTCGGCGTATTGTTTTCTGTAAAAAAATGATACAAATCAAAACAAAATTACAGTAAATTTTAACAATTGATACCAAGCAGATGTACTTTGTAGAGTGAAAGTAATCATGGTTACATTTAATAAATACCAAATTACAGTCACAATACACACAAAGAAAAAATAAATAGAGGAACTATTTTAGTCAATTCTGTACTTCTGCTCGGATAGTAAAATGGTTCACCTAAAACTTAGTTTTTCATAAGGTGTTGATCTGTCGAAAAGATAATCTTTGGTTTACCTTTTCCTCTGATATCTAATGACATATAGAGAATTTTCATTTTGGTTACGTTCTGCAGAAATATCGAATCGTTCACCAACAATGTTGTTGTTTCCTCAGGTTCATCTGTTGTATCCGAAAAGTAGGAAAATAAAAGTTATACAACACAGTTAAAAATAAAAATAACAATGATAAATAAACAAAAAAAAAATAAAAGTAACAAAGTAAGATAATTACAAATAATAACAAAATAATTGGATTGGAGCCACACGGTCACAATAACAGAACAATTACAAAGTAATAGCTACATAGCAGAAACAAATAAGAATTGCAATAGAGTGAGAAATAAACAGTCGCACATCAGTTTTAATTCAACCGTTACACCTAACAGCTACATACAGATGGGAGTTAACTCTATTCAAGTTATAGTCACTTGCATGCTTTAGAAGTAAAAGAGAACATTTAAGTTTATCCGAAGTTCTTTTCAGAGTAGAAAACTAACCGAAATCGTTAACTGTTTACCTTCTTTTTGGTATATAAATTTCTAATTAATTTATCAAATTGAATTATGTTGATGCAAAGAAAAATCACAGTATAGACAATGTAAAAAAAATTACGTGTAGCCGGGCATCCGGACACGTGATGGCACAATGTTCTATTGCAAACACATCCTTCTTGACAATCTGCTCCATAATTTGGATACCGACAGGGTAACGAACAATTTTGACCAAAGTATCCTTCTTTGCACACTACAAACATATAAACTTAAAACTTTCGATATATTAGTTCCATCGATTTTTTTTCCAATTATTGAGGAAAATATTTGTCAATAAATAATTTCTGAAAATATTCAGATTCATTACACATCAGCATAAATTTTAAAACTAATGTAATGATAGATTTGTTCATATATCATTTGATTTTATTTTGATTGAATTATCGATTTTTTTAAAAAGATATTTCAGCTAAAAGTGAGTTAAAGAAAGATGCTTAATTATCTACAAATATATTCATTATTCAAACAAAACAATGCCCTTGAAAATTACTGTGATAACATCTCTTATTAAATTTCCCTTTATAACCATTGAATAAAAAAGGAATCTGACGTTTAACAAACCATGAAAACAAAAGCATATAGTTCAAATAAGTCTGTTCTTTAAGATAAAGACCTTTAGATATCATTTTAATATTATCGAAAATATTTTAAATATTCATCTACTAGAGGTAAATAAACAACATAAAAAACTCAATTAAGAACTGATTTAAAAACTTAGTTCGTAAGGAAAATTAACTTACATTTTGGATCCGATGTTCGTATCAAAGGCAGATAGGCAAAATAAAGAACCAGTATTACTGGTATTGTAGGCCAAAACATAATCAACTCTCTTTCGTGTTATTCTCTGATGACACAAAAGTCTGAGAAGGAGCTAGAACTTCAAACACAAAATCCCTTTGAAGATGTAATGATTGAAAAGTACAAGGAATAAAAATATCTAATCACGCATGTTATTTTTGTTATAATGCACTTTTCAAAATACAAAGAGGAAATATATCCAATATTAGTATTTTAGTTTTTTTCCTTATTTACTCATTTTGGATATTCAAATATATTATCGATAATTTGGAATCATTAACAACAAATGTGCTAAATTCCACACATGGTTTAAAAAGTATGTGCCTTTTCATGGGGAAGTTATTTGTAAAAATAAAATAGGTCATGTTTGGAAATTTTTCTATTCAGTTTTTATTATTTATGTTTCCTCATGTTTAAAAAATGATGAATTATTTCTTTGGTATTTTTCCTTTTCTACAAGCTACTAATTGTATAGAACGATGAATACATGGAATGCTGAAATTAAGATACAGGGTTTATTATTTTTTAAAAAAAATAACATACTTTTATTTTCTACGTTAATGGTAATCTAACAACCAAGCTATATGATAAACGTGATGGCTAACTTTTCAAGCGTCAACTTCCCTTACTTAAGCAGCAAAATATTGTTATCATCTGCATATGGAGTTTATATATCTTAGTTGATTCCATACGCAGGAGCAAGCTCTACGTACGAAAAATTTTTAAAACGAGTATTGATAAAACTTGATGAAATAAGAATACCAGCAGTCTCGTTTAAATCACCATTCTGTAACGTCTTTGGTCTACACAATGACCTTGTCAGCAAATACAATTTATAATTGAGTGAAATGCTGACTGACGTTTTTCATACCAATTGTTAGAGTCCATTATGTATACACTGAATTGACAACGGATTTTTCCGTTATTTTCTGATTATGACAAGGAGCACACGGCGGGTATGTTCGGTCTGCAGGGGATGGTCACTCCACCATGGCACCGGATCCAACCTCTCATGTTTTAATTTGTCTGTTTAAAATAAGCCAAAAAGGCAGTTAAAGGAATAACTGAAAAAAAATGAAAACTGTTGCTGAAACCAAATACTTCCTTCGTTATACAGTTATATGTCTGAAGTTTGAGGCAGCGCTGGTAACTTGAATCAAACCAAAGACCCCTGATTATGAGTCGAGTACGTACCTCCATTAATATAAATTATCGGTTCTAATCTGCTTTGATATGAGCATTAGGTCCTGTTTTATAAATATGTACCGGAAAAGGAGCATTTATCGTTGTGATTAGCTCCCTTTTTTTTCAATCGTACAAAAAAGATTATACTGTTTATTATAAGTTATTTCTGAATCTTCAACATGCATGTACTTTGTTCTTAATCTTTTCATAACTTATTGAATATTTGACATTTCGGAGAGGGAACATTCTCGGTTAATTAGAATGAATGTTTACAATTGTATCCAAAACGCACACTCATCTTAAAATATGTACATATTTTTGCAAAGATGGCCTGAAAAATACTTACACGCTTTCTTTCATTACTTATTTATATGCACCGATATGTGTATAAAGAACTCAAGAGTTATGTATTTGTCTATATATTTTTATTTGAATAAAATATTTTGAAAAATTGATATGCTTTTGAAATTATCAATACTTATTAACTCAGCAATTTTTTAAATTGTTAGATATTATAATTGAGAGAGTTAGCTCTCTTTATTGATATACTATGGTATCTTTTCTTCATACATGTAATATTTCCTGTTTATTATAATGTACATATCTTTTCTTCACTGCTTTGGCAGTTTTGAGAATAAAGTTCAAATTCAACTGTTCAACAAATGCTTTGTAAACTCTGATATAGAAGGAGGTATGACACACATCTTATTGTACACAAGATTATTACAACATTTACTATATGTAGTATATAAATCTAAAGGCAAAATTGCAGGTATTAATATAATTAAATTGAATTATGTAACAAAAAAGTTTAAGGAAATACAAAATTGTGCACAGTTTATGATAAATCAAGTGACTATATATAATTAGTAAACAAAACTTGAAAGAACTTAAGCCAAAATCTGCATGATTTGGCCCTGTCAATTCCTGAAAATCAAACTTCATTATTAAGCAGCGAAACGTAGGCCAACTTTTTATTAGATGTTAAACCTTTGGTCCCCGTCTTGATTTTTGGGAAGGAAACAGCACGTGCCGTATTATAAACATCAAAACCGGATGCGGTAATGCAAAAATACCAAGTTTCAATGAAATTTAGACCTTTTTACAGCGATTTTTTTGTAGGCGCCAACCTTGAACCATGATGAAAATTTAAACACAGTTAAATTGATATATGTTAATCCATAATTCATTTGGTTTTTGGTGGTTCACGTGTGGCGCCCTACTTAAATTATACTTCTCAGTACTTTGATGCCTGGCTTGTGTAAACGATAATTTCCGGATTTTTCCCCCTCTCAGTAGGGCTTGGTAGAAATAAAGGTTAAACTTAATTAGTCACATTAAATTATTTATTTTTGAATAATCTATTGTGCCCGTAAATGAATTTTAAAGGATATAAAATCCACTCGCCAAAACTTGCATCTGTAAAAAGGTGAATATTTCCGATCCCGATGTGATAAAATATAACTGACTATCCGGAATGCAATGCAACCAATGCAATGCATAGTTAAATGGACTGAAGATAGAGACGTTTACATGACTTTGTTATGGTGAGTATCTTTATTCTTCTAAACATATAAGTAAAGTAAGCTTTAACATAGACATGCATCAATATAATATGATGATTCTGAGCTGATAATACATGGACCGCTCGCTTGACCCATATGTCGTCTGCAGTATGATCTACTGTCAGGTATGCAATAATGCATATCTACAGTATATCAAAGTTTTTTTTGTAGTCCATGTGATTGAGATGCAAAAAAGATCGGCATTGGTCTAAATTAAGTTTTATTAAAATCTGTATATAATGTTAGGCCTATGAGTATCTAGTTCAAATTTCAGCAATGATAACACTGGAACATGTCAATCTGAATCCCCTCTATTTTTGAAATAAAATAAAAGTACGTATTTATAAGACCATATATTAATGTAAAAATATTAGTTTACATTTCTAATAGTCATAATTTACCGAGAAATAGACACACTAACACAGATATTCAACATATTTTTATATCAGGTGTTTTTTTGTTTTTGTTGTCACGAGTTACCTCTCTTTAAAAAATTCATGTTCCTTTTAAATATATTTTTAATGATTTTTCATAAAAAATGATTTTTTCTTAAAACAATATATTCAACAATGCAAATTAAAGCATGTTAAAGCAAATTCGTAAAAACATAATTAGTAGTAAATGTTTTAAAGTAATAAACTGCTAAAATTAATTTTAATATTATAATTCAGCTTCTTTATTTTTGTTGTTCATTATTAAATATAAATTGCTGAAATTGGAGGGCGGATCCCAACGCGTGTGCATATTTAAAAAGAAAGGAGAAAAAAGTACATAAAATAAATATCACAGTAAAGAGTTTTAAAGATTTTTAAAACAAAAAATAAAGCAGCAATATTTTAGGTGGTAAAACTCAAATATCTTTGAAGTATTCCCAGAGTAAGTAGAAGACAATTTTTGTACAATGATGTAAAAATTCATGTTCTTCCTCAGGCAAACTTTTATCAATATTTAAGTCCATGAATCTGAGCATACATGTAGATAGCTTAGACCATGGGAAAAATTTTTTATTGTTATTCTAATCTGGATGAGATTGAGAAGATAGTTTCAAAAGATCACAATTTTAATAAGCCTTTTTGGCTGTAGTTTAAAATAAATTATAGCAGTAAAATGAAATAAAAAATATCATTTTATTCAGTTGGAAAGGTATACGAATTCTTTTTCATAGTATGCCTGGATAATAATGTATAAAATGTAAACATTCTTATATTTAATTTCAGATAATGCCAGGACACAAAACTGAATACTTCAACTGTGTATTGTGCTCTAAAAGAACAAAACCCAATGACAGGAGGCATCTTGACAAAGGCATACGAAAATATTTAAGAAAAAGGTTTATGGTAGAAGGAAGGGAAAATTCTGTCATATGCAGCAAATGTAGAAGCAATTATTACAGAGATGTTTCATGCCGTAAACCATCTGCAACACCCTGCTCTACCGCAATTCACAGGGAATGTCCAGCGTCCGAAACAAATGACAACAGAAAACATCTCTCCAGTCCACCATCTGTATCCTTGCAACTGAAATCCACTGCGAAGACTCATGCCTATTGTATAGTTTCTAAGAAACCAGGGCCAAAATTGATAGTAGTGTCACCAGAATGCCGCACATCTGTTTTTATCGAACACGATGTCTTAATTCCATCTGGAAATAGATGTTGTCCTGGTCATGTGGAAAATGGACGTTTCACAACTGCTGCAATTCAGCAATTACCAACAACAGACCATGCATTTGTTAACAGAACTACCATCCTAAGTTTACTTCAAGAGATGCGTGTTTTATGTCATAAACATGACAAGTCTTTTTTGGACTTTGATGACACCATGACTCTGACCGATACAGACTATTTATCTTTGCTGGGACTCAACAAGGAAGATTTCCATACAATATGTGACTCTGTGAGAGATGAAGTGAAACCGACACCATCTAGAAGTCTAAGAAAATCCGTTGCAATATTCCTGTGCAAATTAAAAACTGGTTTGTCCAATCAAATACTGTCAACACTTTTCCAAACTTCCAAATCCAGCTTAAGGAGAGCTATTAGTGCTGTAAGAACAGCATTGATGATCAGCTTTGTGCCGCACCATCTTGGGTTTGAACACATAAGAAGAGAGGAAGTCATCGACGACCATACACGGCAGCTAGCACAGACACTGTTCGGTAACATCGAGAAGAAACAGGCCATATTGGTACTGGATGGTACTTACATTTACACAGCCAAGAGCAATAATTTCCACTTCCAAAGACGTTCTTACAGCATCCACAAGGGGAGACCACTAATCAAACCTATGGTTATCGTGACTACTACTGGTTACTATGTTTCAATCTTAGGACCATATCTAGCTGATAATAAAAACAATGATGCTTCAATTCTGCAACATATCATTAAAACAAATGCTGAAGATATTCGGAGCTGGCTAAGTGAAGACGACATCTTTATTGTTGACCGCGGGTTCAGGGATGCTTTGCCTCTTCTTGAAGACCTTGGAATCCAGGCAGAAATGCCCCGATTTCTGCTCAAGGGACAAAACCAAATGACTACTGATGATGCAAATATGAGCAGACTTGTGACAAAGGTAAATAACATGTAAATTCTTTCAATAAATTTATTTGCAATTTCTTGTTTAAGATATATCTACTATGAATAAGTTTTGAAAACATATTTTTCAGGTCAGATGGGTAGTGGAATCTTCAAACGCACGTATCAAAAGGTGGAGATATTTAGAGAAGACTCTACCCACGAATCAAATTCCCTTCATCGGTGACTATGTGAGGATAGTCTGCGCTCTCTCAAACAGATTCTCTCCACCCCTGAGTAAAAGTAACAGCACTGAGGCTGATGATGCAGAGGCAGCAAAAATGCTCTATCTGTCCAAACAGGTATTTAAGTTGCACAAATTGATTTTTTTGTATAATATCGTAATGTAATTGAGCAGCTGCAAAAATCTGCATTTAAGAAGACATTTAATTTTTTTTTAATTCTATCTTGCTCATCTCTCTTGAATACATCAGTATATGTTATAATTACATGCACATGATTCAGTTCATATATGCATTGCATTACTGCCTTTCTTAATAGGTGAATAATCTCAAACGAATGGTTCAAGAGAATGGACTTAACAGAAGATCTACTCAATGGCAAACAGTTCTTGAATGTGAAATTCAGAATTTCCCCATGTTGGATGAGGATCAGTTGCGGAATTTGACTTGTGGCACCTATCAATTGAAGCTCTCTCGTAGCTATATTCAAGAACACATTGAGGGAGGTTGTGATATTTCCTTCCATAAAGAAAATGATAGGCTCCTAAAGGTAAAAATTCAGAGTCGGCACACATCATCAAAACAGTATTTAGTTTGGATTGAGTATTCTGATGACTCTGTAGTAGCATGGTATTGTACCTGCAGAGCGGGTGCCAGAGTTGTAGGCATGTGCTCTCACATAGCAGCCATCATTTGGTACCTGGCAAAAGGAAGGCATGAACAAAGGACATATGGTGTGCGTGACTGGAGTGAGCATGTCCTTGATGCAGCTGACATCCCACCTGCTGTGGATGAGTCTGACAGTGATGACAGTAGTTGTGGAAGTGTTCCCGAGGAGTGAACAGTTAGTTAATCTTCATTGTATTTTATATATTGTTATTATATATATATGTTGTATATATGTTTTTTAAAAAAATTGTTATTTTTTTTAAAATTTAACTGTTTATAATCTCATGTGTGAGTTTTAAGTCGGAGGCGGATATTTGGCCGCTCCGCATGTAGAGTCTTATTTTTTAAAATTTAACTGTTTATAATCTCATGTGTGAGTTTTAAGTCGGATGTGGAAATTTGGCCACTACACATGTAGTGTTATTTTATCAATTAACCTGTTTATAATCTCATGTATGAGTTTTAAGTCGGATGTGGAAATTTGGCCACTCCGCATGCAGAGTCTTATTTTTTTAATTTAACTGTTTATAATCTCATGTGTGAGTTTTAAGTCGGAGGCGGAAATTTTTTTTAAATTTAACTGTTTAAAATATAATTTGTGAATTTTAAGTCGGAGGCGGAAATTTGGCCGCTCCGCATGCAGAGTCTAATTGTTTTAAATTTAACTGTTTATAATCTCATGTGTGAGTTTTAAGTCGGAGGCGGAAATTTGGCCGCTCCGCATGCAGAGTCTTATTTTTTTAATTTAACTGTTTATAATCTCATGTGTGAGTTTTAAGTCGGAGGCGGAAATTTGGCCGCTCCGCATGCAGAGTCTTATTTTTTTAAATTTAACTGTTTATAATCTCATGTGTGAGTTTTAAGTCGGAGGCGGAAATTTGGCCGCTCCGCATGCAGAGTCTAATTTTTTTTAAATTTAACTGTTTATAATCTCATGTGTGAGTTTTAAGTCGGAGGTGGAAATTTGGCCGCTCCGCATGCAGAGTCTAATTGTTTTAAATTTAACTGTTTATAATCTCATGTGTGAGTTTTAAGTCGGAGGCGGAAATTTGGCCGCTCCGCATGCAGAGTCTTATTTTTTTAATTTAACTGTTTATAATCTCATGTGTGAGTTTAAAGTCGGGGGCGGAAATTTGGCCGCTCCGCATGTAGAGTCTTATTTTTTTAAATTTAACTGTTTATAATCTCATGTGTGAGTTTTAAGTCGGAGGCGGAAATTTGGCCGCTCCGCATGCAGAGTCTATTTTTTTTAATTTAACTGTTTATAATCTCATGTGTGAGTTTTAAGTCGGAGGCGGAAATTTGGCCGCTCCGCATGCAGAGTCTAATTTTTTAAAATTTAACTGTTTATAATCTCATGTGTGAGTTTTAAGTCGGAGGCGGAAATTTGGCCGCTCCGCATGCAGAGTCTTATTTTTTTAAATTTAACTGTTTATAATCTCATGTGTGAGTTTTAAGTCGGAGGCAGAAATTTGTCCGCTCCGCATGCAGAGTCTAATTTTTTTAAATTTAACTGTTTATAATCTCATGTGCGAGTTTTAAGTCGGAGGCGGAAATTTGGCCGCTCCGCATGTAGAGTCTTATTTTTTCAATTTACCTGTTTATAGTTTCATGTGTGAGTTTTAAGTCAGGTGTGATATTGTAGCAATAATCAGTAAAAAGGCATAACTTGACTGCATATACATTATACACTATTTCTGATTTATGTATTTTTATGTTTTACTTTAGGAATATGTTTAAGTGAAGTTTACTTCAATATTTTGTGTATTATGAATTCTATTTGAGCAAGAAATACAAATGTTTACAAAACTGATAATTTTGTTATTATTATTTTAAATTGACACTGTTACATTTATAAAATAGTAAATAAACAGTGTAACTGCTTATGAAGTATGAGTATATATTTTCTTTAGAGAAGTACAGACTATAAGAAAAGCAAGTAACACTAAACTCTTTTCAATGCCTCAGAATTTCTTTGAAGAAAAATTGATAAATTGAGATTTATATAAAAATAATTGAATTTTCTCCTCTTTAGAATATATATATATATATATTACATGTTTACTACTTATTGATTTCTTATCATGACGATAAAGTATATACAATTGACGTCATGACATTAAAGTCAGTAAAGGCAACGTCATGACGTTAGAATAAGTAACGGCAACGTCATGACGTCGTAGAATTAACAGTGAGAACAATACCAAATTCAAACGGCTGTAAAAATAAAACTAGAAAAGATATTGATAAAAAATAAAATGTTATATAATATACTAATCTAAGAGCATTGTTTGAAAAAGTTTCATCTGTTTTGGTGACAGGGCGGATTTTTGTACATTCTGGCTTAAGTCCTTTATAAAGTGAATGAAATATAGATCAATGTCAAGCTCATGAGAAAAAATACATCCTCTTTATATTCTGTTCTCCCGTTTTTCCCCTTTTTTTTCAGTTTTCGAATATTACAGGAACTGATCATAGATCCATGGTAATTATATTATGCAAGCGACACAATTTTTAAAGTATAGAGTGAAATGCTGTAAGATTTTAAAAAAGATAATAAATTTAAAATAGGGTGAATACTAGAATCAATAACTGATTGCTCGTTTATTGTTTATTATCCCTCTTGAGACTTGTGTCAGATTGCATAAAAAAGCAAGAATGATTGATTGTATATTGTTTAACGTCCCTCTCGAACATTTTTACCAATATTGAAATGCCACTACTTCCCGGCAGAATACTGCAAATTTTGTCCTATACTTGGCACTCAGGAACATTGATCATTCACATCTGTAAGTTATGCAAAGTAAGTATTGCGTAAGTAAGTAAATTGCCTGCTAATGCATTTGTGATAAATTCATGATCTATATATGTTTGAAGTTTTTCAAAGGTTCATGTTCGATATGCATATACGAAGGAATTTTACTTCTGACGATTTTTCAATAGTGTGTATTGTATTTCATATACTTACCAAAATCATGATATTTGTATTTGTTTGACGAAGTGGTCATTAAAAAGATTACTTTTTACATGTGTTTGTCAGTCTCTGTTCTTGAAGAAACTATTATGTTTAACATTCAATCAACACTGCTAAACTTCTTGAGCAGTGGTCATTCCATGAATTGAACATACATTGTACTCCGTATTAATAATACAATATTTAATCTTTTTAGTCCCATTTTATGATTGAATATATATTTAAAATAAAATGACTCTCATTGTGAGTACATCTACTGAATTCAACTTGCCTGGAATTATGTGAAATATAGGGCATTAGCAGATAATTTCAGTTAAATGAGGTTATTTGTAAATCTAGATATATATTCTCTAATATCATTTTCTGTGTGATGTTTATGAACGCAAAGTGATCGATGCCAAAATATACATTTAAATATGTATTTGCAATCATTTGAAAAAAAAAAAAAATCAAAATATTTAAATGGATTACCCTTCAAAATTTAAAAATGATGTCAAAAAAAAAAAAATAATAAAAAAACATACAGAAAAAAAATATTATTCTCCAGAAAATATAACAGTTTTCCCCAGTTTAGTATCTGGTTAAAACAATTTCTATTATTCCAGTTGCTGTTCTTGTGCATAAGTGTTTAGGCATAAAATCACGATTAAATACACGTGTATGTACATTTTAACTGAAAAATGAAGAAGAATAAATTTTGTCAAATTTGATTTTGAAGCGATGTAAACATGTATACATCTTATGTATTTATTATACCAAAACATACCATTTTATGTTATTTTGGGACTATAGACAATATAAGGAACTTACGAAAAAACAGCTGTTTGTAACATTGCGCGACGAGTTGTTGGTAAATTAAATTATTTCTTTTATTGAAAAACAAACAATAAAGATCATTATTATTATCAATTATGAAACAACTTTGATTTCAAATTTAAGGCCTTGAGGTCTGTCAAATATGTTATTTCTTGAAATTCTTTAGAAATGTTCTGCTGATACATGTAATAACAAACCTAAGGAGACAGAAATTCTTAGTTTTTTATTAGGCCCCAATAGGCCAAAAGAAAAATACTATAATAGTATGTAGAGAATAGAAAGTAAATAACTTTCGTAAAAAAATTTAAAATGTTATCACTATCTTAAATCAAACATTTTATAAAGATATTAATATAGGAAACCAAATTAAGCTTTCATAGAATTACTATAGTTTCATAGTAATCATTATAGAAAATCAAAGTTTTATATTATATCATTTTAAGTTATTCAAAAATCACTATATATACTGGAATAAACTACCAGTTGATCTCACTATGATATTTTATGATGAAAAATGCTTGGACTATAATTTTTTTCAATTAATCTCTTTTACGAGGGTTGTCCTGTAAAATCGTGGACAAGTTGTCTAGTGTGAAAAATAAACATCACTGCGTTCTGAAATTTTCACTATTATTTAGTACATATTTAAGTAATATACACAGCAAATTTCAGATAAATATATGCATAAATAAACAAATTATGAGATTTTATGCCAGGTATTGTATCACCTTACGGCGCATGGATTATAACGTCAAAGTGTCTAAAACAGCGTCACGTTTTATCTTTGCTGAAAATGAAGTTGGATGAGTCCGACTTTAATTTAGGAATTTCTTTGAAACACATTCTTTAGTTTTATTAAACAGTCGAAGAACCAATTGGCAGCCTCGTGCGATCTTCTGAAAATTTATTAGTAAGTTAATTCTCAATATTCTCACCACCATTCAACTAATAGAAAATCTCATATTGGCGGTCTACTGTGACAGCGTCTTTTGCTATTATATTAGGAGTTTGTCCTTATGTATTGTACTCTACAGGGACTCGATCAAAAATACTTCGCTAAGAAAACTCCTATATCATTTGTATACTTAAGATATGGTGATATTTTTAAAATTTTTTATTCTTCTATGGTCATTTTAAGTCTCTAATATGGAAAGGGTAAAAAAGACGTTTTTGCAAAACTAACAACTAATTTTATAAACATAATGAAATAAGAAACAGACAACCTTAAAAACAAAATCAACAGACTCGTTTGCAAAATCAACAGACTCTGATGCGAAATCAACAATCACCAATGCAAAACCAACGATTATTCACTGAATTGTCGCTAGATGGCGCGCAAAAAACATATATTACCTGAATTAACGCTAGATGGCGCGCAAGTTTTTCTACGTCATCATTATTTTTGTACTATCATAGGAACGTAAATGGATCAGGGCCACAATTATAGAGTGAAGGTCAAAAGCCTGAGAAGTAGCACATAAAGGAAATTCCTCCCTTTCAATGATAAAAATAAAAACATGCTCACGTTTGTGAAACTTTCTGGGTATAGAATAAAAGTTTAATGTCAAAAGTTTATCATTGCATAAATTATGCATAGAAATATGTATTGAAATGAGAGGTCATTTGGTTTGTTTACACATTTTAAGCCAAGCGAGAGCTATTCGGAGGTCATGACGTCAGAAGTTTATTAATAACCAAGGATTTCCACATTGAACACCCCCATTTTTATGTGAATATTTATCTGACACTCTGTCATGTGTTAAAAAATATTTTGGAAATGAATCTTTTTTTAAAAAGGTACAAAGAAAACAAAACCCATGTTTTTACTATATAAGTCTATATATATGTACATGTAAGCTAATTTTAGTTCGGGTCCAAATCCCGCGAAATTGTCTATCAACATCCATTTGCAAAACCTCGGATAATAGCATCATGTCGGACTTTTAAAATTCAAACATATTAGAGGCAGCAAGACAAACGACTATTACAAGAAACCAGTAGCAGATATTGTTTTTTTCCCCAAGAGATAATTTTTGAAAGAAAAAAATCCCCTTACACTCTTAAAAAAAGTTCATATAAAATTATTTTATTGTGTTCGTGCATTACACAATTTGTTGATACATAAAAATTCACTTGGCAAGTTGTACTTTATTCATTTTTGCTTTTCTTTGTACGACTTATAGTGAAGTTTATCAAATTTATTTTAGAATAAGTTAACTTAGGAAGCAATCTGATTAAAATCAGATCCTTTGATCCGCTCTCATTAATCGCTACTTGTTTAGCGATCTATGTGCGCGGATCAAAGGATCTGCGCACGTGAAAAAAATATATGGGCTGGATTGTTTTTATTGGGGTGGACCCCCCCCCCCCCCGAAAAACAGGATCTGCGCCTGTACAGATATGAATTATATAGGACAGAAAAGATAAATGCTCTAAGGAACAGGATAATCAAGGTTGGTACTTTTTGCGCAAGGGATATCATTAACTCATGAAGTTTTAGTCAAAGTCTCACAAGATTTTGGTAACTTGTTGATTAAACATGAATTAAAAATGTTTGATAATAAATCTGGAAAACATATTCGAAAGGATAGTTTTAATTTTATTCAAAAGTTTGTTTTACTATGCGTTTCTTTTTCGTCTCAGTATAGTTGAAACCGTAAAAGAAATTCAGGGTCGGATCCAGCAATTTTCGAAAGGTCGATGCCCCAGCACTCATGCATAGAATCACAACAGGACCACTTGAAGTCCGTAACTACATATATTTATAAGAAAGGGGGCTCCAAAAAAACAGTTGACAAGCAAAAAAAAAAAAAAAAAAAACCCACCACACTCTAAGTCCTTCTTTGGGGGTAGAGGGGGCTTTCTGTAACTTTTCTCTTCGGACTGCATTATATACTTTCATGTAATGCTTGAATCTGTGTATTTTCCGGCAATAAAAACTGTGGAGGGAGCTTCCAAATCAAAATATTAATTAGAACTTCAGCAAAAGATTACTCTCAGAAAAAATAAATCCCCTCTATCTGCATTTTTTTTTGCATGTTACTTGTGAGTGGTCGGAACTCTTAGCCGGGGTTGGGAAGGTACACGGAGGAAGGTACGCGAAAATCTACAGAGCAGAGCGGACAAAGATTTTCCATTTTTTCAAAATATTAGACTTATTCTATATTTATACAGAAATTTTTCTCTCTATGTACAAAAATAAAAGGGGGTTCCAACCACCGGAACCCCCTCCCCTCTGGATCCTTCAATGAAATTTACACTATAAGGCTACAAGGATGAGACTTAATTGTACTCCTGTACAAGATGTGGTGGCATTTTTGCCATGGTATGCGCAGTAGACCTTGTCCCATGTGCATTTTGCCTAATTTCTCCGAGTCCGAAAATAGTATCGCCCAAACCTGGAATAATCGCTGTCCTACATTCCTTCACTTGATTTTTAAGCCCCCCCCCCCCCGCCCCCCCCCACTCCCCAAAAAAAACAAAAACATGGATACACACATCTTGCCCTAATTTTTTTTCTTTATAAATATTTTAAAGTATTCAAGCCATTCCCTTAAATATACACAGGGTCAATCTAATAGATAAAATTTGTATAAAATGTACTATATACCGGTAGTATTTGATCCCTTATTATATACAAATAATTTCGATGCCGATAATATATCTTTAATACATTCCGAGGATCTTGATATATAATTTCGCGTGATTTACGTTCCTATGATAGTACAAAAATAATGATGACGTAGAAAAACTTGCGCGCCATCTAGCGTTAACTCAGGTAATACATGTTTTTTTGCGCGCTAACTAGCGACAATTCAGTGAATAATCGTTGGTTTTGCATTGGTGATTGTTGGTTTCGCATCGGAGTCTGTTGATTTTGCAAACGAGTCTGTTGATTTTGTTTTTAAGGTTGTCTGTTTTGTATTTTATTATGTTTTTAAAGTTAGTTGTTAGTTTTGCATAAACGTCTTTTTTACCCTTTCCGCCGCCCATACTCTAAAGGTGTCATTACAACATCGAATAAAAACTGAACTGCTCTCCGGTGCGCCGTAGCGTCATAAAACGTCGCCATTTTTCGTGTGTTGTGTTTACCACTTTCCCATTTCGAATGCTCAAGAAACTGCCAAAAATTAACCAAATGCCTTAAAATTTTTACAAAGACTACAAAATTGATTGTGGAATTGAATGAGGATAATTTTAATCCAAATCTTATGTATTTAAAACTTTTATTTTGAATTCAAACTTGTGTATTCTTTAATAAAACCTTGGATTTTTGACCGTGCGCCGTAGGACACTACCCCGTGCACATTCAAGCATAATAACATCTTTATTTTTGCCTATATTTTATCCAAAAATTATCATGCACTTAAATATGATAAATAAACAATTACTGAAATTTTCAGCTTAGTGCGCCCATTACTTTTCGAGAAAAACGCTTTCTCCACGATTTTACGGGACAACCCTCGTAGAGAACAATTCGGAAGCAAACTGATGATGACGATAAGAGTTAAACTTTAAACAGAACATGGGATGATAAATCTAACATTAAGCCAATCAAATAATGCAAATTCAATAATTTTATTATTAAACGCCATTCAGCTCCTATTTAGTTAATTGCTTTAACCAGTTTGATATGTTTTGAAGAACAGATTTGAAACTCCTTTTTTAAGATTAAATACAACTGTCAATCATCGAAGGATACACATTAAAATAAAAAGATAATATTAAAACATTTTTTTTTCATTCAAATACCAAACAATTATAAAATAGAAATTGTTTGCATACAATTTTTTCTTGTATGTTATGAAAAGCAAATAGAGTCATAAGTTAAATGTTTCATTTGATTTTCTCTTTTCTTGTCTTTGTACTCTTGTCCATTGATAGTATTGAACACTTGCACGATATTTTGCCGTTATCTTGATGTAAATACCTATGATGATGACGAAAAGACCTCCAAAGAACACTATACAGACAAGCATCACTTTGTGTTTCATATCCATGCGATTCCACATCGATGTGCTTTTTGCTATTCTCTCTGTTTAAAACGGTGTATTCATGTATCACAAATGAACATGCCTTGTAAAATAGTATAAATGAAAAATTAATGAAGTCATCAAAATATTATGCCCCTCAAGTTAACTGTGTTGAAGGAAAAAATGATGTTAAAATTACGGTGTATGTACAATAGGAACAAATTTAGTTATGTCAATTAGGTTATCTATCTGATTTCTGTATACATTATGTAACGGAAACAAACAAGTTCAGCCTAAGAAAACTTTTAGAACATGGATTATTTTACTTTTAATAGATTTGGATCATAATGAAAAGCAATTATAAATTATCAATATTTGATTTTTTAGATAAGAAAGTTTTAAACATACCTATTTTGCTGTCGTTTGATGATATGTATAGAATACTCATTTCGGTTTCGTTTTGGTATAATTGATCATTCATCAACGAGGGTGATGCTTGCTCAAAGGCATTTACTAAAAAAAATGCATAAGACAAACGTACTTATGAAATAGGTTAATATTACAGTGATCCATTTAAAAATATCTACATGCATAAAAGATTCCGCAAACCGAATACAACACATGTCCAAGGAAATTCCAGATGAAGAATCTGGTTGGTACCTAGAAGGAATAGACATCCCCTTATAAGCAGTAAAAATTACATAACAGTAACATAATGACGTTTCATTAGTAAACAAACTTACAATACAGAACAGGGATACAAAACCAGTGACAGACACAGTTAGTTACCGATCCCACCTCTGAAGTTTTAGGGATCCATGTTTGTTTTGTATTGTTTCATGAACTTTTGATCTTGAATACTGTTTGTTATCTCTGTGTTTCATTACACAATATCAATTATATAAAAGCAGCAAACTTACAGATTTATAAGAGGAACATAACAGTTACATTACAGTCACATTGTAACAGTATCTTAACTGTAACATTATAACAATTGTTATGATAATAATGAAGCAAGAATATTTTGATAAGGAAGTTTTCCATGCATGACAGCAGGTACAGGGGATGTATAGTGTTTTTATGTATAAACAATAATAAGTTTCCTCTTTTGAGTTTTATTCAAAAACGGAATTTGAAACGATATTTATGTAAATATTGTATTACCGTTATCATAATTATACGTATGATTAACTTATATTTCTATTTCTAATTTTTTTCTCTGTGATAACTGTTTGAAAGTTGGGGGAATTTATTTCTTGATAATTCTGCCGGAATGTAAATTAGGCAGGTCGATAGGTCAGCAGCTAAGAAGGTCTAAAACGCATGCAAATCTCGTGCGCATCTATCTCTGTGTCTGACGCTAAGGAGGCCAAATATGCATGTAAATCTCGTGCGGCTGCCTTCGTGTTTGACGTCAGTGTGCGAGGACTATTGTAATTGGCTTGGAAGTCCTCGTGTAATTTAAATCTATTTGTCTACATTTTAAATGTCTAAGTCTATAATTTTATTTTACAATGAAATGGAAATATAAGGAATCACTGTCTAGTTTTGAGAGTATGCCAGGGACATCAACAATAGGAGGAAACATGGGATACTTTAAGCATAACGGGCTTCGCCCGTTATGCAAATTATCTCATGTTTCCCACTATTGTTGATGTCCTGGCATACTCTCAAAACTAGACAGTGATTCCTTCAGTCAAAGAAATGGAATTTCGAAGGTTTATACAACCTTATGAATTTAAATACAAGTAAAAATGCAAACATTACCTGTAATTATGCATCCATTCACATGGTTGCAAAGTTCCTCAGCACAGAGGCATTCACTCTGACAGTTGTCTCCGTAATTTGGATACCGGCAAGGAAGCGTGCAGTTAGGGCCAAAATATCCGTCTGCACACTCTGCTAATGAAAAAGTTGGAAACTATTGAATTATCAATATCAAGTCTAAGTAGAGAACATTATTAATTCCTGTTTTTAATACAGTTTTATATGTAGTATTGTAGGAATAGAAATAACGTTAATAAATCGATAATTTATAACATTTAAATGAAAGGATAACCATAAATTTTAATAATTTAATTTTGATAATATTCTAGTCTCTCATTGGTTGATTTCCAAAAAGGAACACTAGAATAAAACGTAATAACCTGGTTTGGTATGGGGACACACCCCCTTGACAACCAGCTGATTCATTTGTATCTATGCAATCCCACATTTCCAGTCCATGGAATTACATGGAAAATTCTAAATTTAATAAATGTACTTTTAACTTCAAACAGTAGCTCGCTCTTACCTCGTGTAAACAAACATCATGGCTGCTAGATCTGTTATTACGTCCCCTTAAGTTATTACGTCCCCTTGTTTCAAATCACTTCAGTTACTAGGGATGTATTATTGCGCGGCAAATTTGAACTCTTAAAAAGCAGCACAATTTTACATCCACAGTTGTTTAATTATTTAAAAATTAAATTATAAGGAATGACTCTAATTCTTGGCCAAATTATTCGATTATAACCTGGTTTGGGTCAGTTTACGCTTTTTTATAATCCGCTTCGCGGATTATAAAGCGTAAACTGACCCAAACCAGGTTATAATCGAATAATTTGGCCAAGAATTAGAGTCATTCCTATAATATATCCAGACGTTAAATAAATTTGCAGAGGACAATTCAATGAATTGCCCAAATTGTCAGCGAATGATAAAAATCCAAAAATAACTGAATTGTTTATGCAATGAGCATCTTAAAAATATATCAATGTCCAAAAAGATGCCTAAACTTCAGCAAACATTTTCAAAACATAAAAAAAAATATTTTATATTTTAGCATCATTATTGGATGTCAATTAATTACAATAACTTACTTTTAGAGAAAATAAATAAACCCACACTTAATAGATTATAAAACAAACAATATCCTTTATTCTGAAAAGGGATGTAGATATATTTATGTAGATGAAGATATGTTGTTTCTAAAAAGTTCTATAACCAAATGACAAGAAAATCAGGTATTTCTGATTGGTCTACAGGTCCTTTGCTGAGATGATCTTCAGAGTGACTTCCGGGAGGTTTATTCGGGGTTTTTCCTTTGAACCGACCAATAACATAATATTTTTATGGAAGCACTTAATTCTACACACTAGATAGTTCTAATTATAGGCTAAGTTTATGCTGGTAGAGTGATCTGCCCGTAGAAGTGATTAAAAATAAGGAATCATTATTTATTGTTAAGTATACCATTTTTAATAGACTAAAATATGCTTGGCATTATATTAGACTAAGAATAAGTAATTGAAATATCTCCAGTGTAAAAATGTGTTTCTGTTCACACATAGTCCATTTTCGTTGAATATTTTCCCTGTAAAATAAAGAGAGGTATCCTATGTTGAAAATGGAAAAAATATTCTCAGTGTACACCTTTGTTTAATATTTATTACCCGTCCATTTTGTAAGTGTTAAAAGCTTCCTTAAAACGTGTGAATATGAATGTAAATATAGCAGACCAGGCACGACGATCAACCAATATCTGATTAGGTCGGTTAATTCACAAGGATACCTCATTAAAAGTCAATAATTGTACATAATAATATTTCAAAATTCACACGATTTATTTAAAAAGTTTGATAAAGAAAAATGTCTTACTATATAATTCTGATTTTCCAGTCTGAGATAAAAAGGTACAATAAAGAAATGGCAATGGTATCACTTTAATCCAATACATTCTCAGTCCTTCGTTAGTGCAGAATATCCCAAAATTTTATGAAATCAAATGAAACCTTTTAACCAAATCTTTTTGAAGTTGTAAGAGGAATTAATTAACAATTCTAAATATACACGACCTGCTTGTCATAATATATTAAATTGGTGCTTTCTTTAAGAGGAAACTATGCTATATTGGTATTTAATGTTTCCCTGTGTACATGTTATAAATATTATTAATAATTATAATATAAATTATAAAACATTATGAATACAGCGACAAAATATAAAAATCGATTTTACATCGAATCAGGCTTTAGGTAAGGCATATTGTAATATCACTGTATTGCAATGTATTACTTACACTCGAAGTAATTCTAGTAATGTGTAATACATTTGTTTTTTTCAATTAAGGCCAGTGGCGCTCGAGATTAGAACGTAACCTTTGAAACGCGGAGAAGGAGCTCTACCGACTGAGTTATAGTGACTCTATTATTGTTTTGAAGAAATACTGTTGGGAGAAAAAAAACAGAAGACATGTATTCTACATTTAGAAGATGAAAATGAACATGATGTCAAACTTTTTTTTTACAAATTTGTTAATGCATTGTTTTTTCATTAGGTGCTAAATCTAAATTATATATTACATTTTGTAGTTTTAGGGAGGGATAAAAGTGCCTGAAATTTCAATTCTATATGTCATCAATAGTAGTCACAAAAAATGAAAAATTGACATATTTCATCTCATTGACAATGGAGAAGTTTTTACTTCCTATGAATAGTAAAAGATATTTGTAAGATATTTTACATTTACAGTGTAATACATGTAAGTACAAGATAAGCACATGAAAATCAAAGACCTGTATACGATTTATGCATTTTTTTTACCCCAACAACAGCCATACATTTATTTTTTTTTTCTATTGTGCTAAAACGTTTATGGTGTATGAGATATATAAACTTGAAATACTATTATAGAATATATTATAGGTTTGCAAATTTGTTTCTATGACTATTTGTATTTTGAATATATTATTAGGTTGTATAAAATAGCATATACAGTATGTTTTTATTAAAGGTTTTAATGCTTGCTATGACTTTTTAATACCTTCTATTTTGAAATGTTTATACTTTTTATTTTGATTTTAGAGCAAAATAAATACTCTTTATGGTTTTTTCTTCACACATTCTGACTGACAATATAAACAAATAAACAAAGAATCTATTTATATACCAATGAAGAATCTCATGCTCATTTGTTTTCTTTTTCAAAATCCGTTGCAAAATCTCTATTAGCTTTTAGATAATTCGTGATATTTTGTGTTTTAATTTTAGAGTCTACAACATAGTTTGCAGCTTAAATTAAACAAATACAGGAAGTAAACTTTGATACAAAATAATTTAATTGCTTTTGAGTATTTGAAATGCATGTTAAAAAATAAACAAGAATGTTGTTATGATGCTGATATAAAATTCTAAGCTTACTTGGCAGTCGTTTGATTTTCAAGTCAGTAATCAATGACCTGTTTTCATTTGTTTTGAATAAGGCTCCAATTGTAATTTTATCAATTGCAGCATACTGTAATAGTTTTAAATTGCTTGACATATGCACAATATATGCATCAATAAGGAAGTTTTTTTTTTAATTTCAACTGCATGCTGCAAATACATTTACCCTGTTTTTTTTTTAATTTCTTTTATTAAGTTATAAATTTGAAGATATCAAAGCAACAAAAAAAGCAAATATTAATGCTTTAATAATGATTTTTTAAGAGTTTCTTGAATGTCTTTATTAACAACCTACAGGTCTAAAGGACAAAATAAGCTAACACCCCTTTTTGATCGTCTGCTTTGTATGTTATAGAGGTCACAGGAAATTGAAAACAGTTTAGTTTGTCAATTTCAAAGCTTTTCCATATCTATGTAGATTTTAATCGATTTTAAGCAAATTTTGTTTCAGAAAACATAGAGCACAAGCCTGCCTATCTACAAAATTGATATATAAAGGATATGGAGATAACAAACACAGCAATATCAATGTCCATAAAACAATACAAAACTGGAGCAAAGCAAACACGAACCTCTGAAACATCAGAGATGGGATCAGGTGACACCTGATACACTTGTACATTGTATCAGACGTATTTCGTCTATTAGAATCTTAGATAGGCAAGATGGTGCTCTATGTTTCCCGAAGTGAAAAGTATCTCAAATTTGATGAAATCACACCTGAAATGAGGATATTCGGGTAAATGCTATTATTCTACACCCTCTTGTGATCTTTGTGTTAATTCTGAATCAAAATCAGTGCTGGTATTTAAACAAACATCATATTAGATTGCAAACTACAACTCTCTCATATCTAACTGTGTTTTGATTTTTACATCTAACAAGGCTCTTATGATACCTTGTCATTTACATGAATTCAAATGTTATGTGCACATTTTGCAAGTATTCATTTGCACTCACAAAAAGTATACCTTTCAGTATTTATTTAAGAATTTCAAACTGTGTGTAATATTTCTATGTGCTATATTTGCTCCCAAACTCATTGTCATTTATTTTCAAATGCTGACTAATAGCTATTTGAATTTAATGATAAAACATAAGGAACTTTTCTTCATATAAAAGTTAAGCATTTTCATTTAGACAATTTCAAAGAAAAGAAGTAAATCGTGACATACAGGGCAATTGATGTGTTGTTCGTCGTTTATATGGAGTAATAACTAAGTTCAGAAGATATGTACATTTTACGCTGTTTTATTTCTTTCCCTCTAATTTCAACATTAAAAGTAACTTTCTATGTACTGATATTTAACGTTTCTAAAAATATTAAAATCAGACAATTCCTTCAAAAAAATGCGAAAACTTTTTTCCAGCAATAACACTTCTCCTACATTCAAAGAAAAGCTTCTGCGTTCATCTTCTTACTATATGATGTGGTGATCTTAAAGCAAGGTTGAAGTCATCCTCTTTTTTGATAATTCATATGCTTGCCAGTCATAGTATGAAAAGTTTTAAACTCCTTACACAAAAGATGAGTCTACAGAATCATTTCTGTTTATGGTTCGGTTTCTGACAGGTTTATACCTATACAGAATTACATCTTTACATTCTTGGATCTTTTTCCTTGAGATGCAGCCTGTCAGGATAATAACTAATAGCAGCAAAGTTAGGATAATTATGCTGATAAGCATATATTTGTGTTTTGTATCTAATGACGTCCAAGTTGAAAGCTCTTTATTGGTATCTAGAAATGGAGAGAAAACGTTTTGATATATCATATTAATGCAATATTATACACGATGGGTAATTAAAATTTGACATGAATATAGTTGATTTAACAGATATTTTAATCAGTTTGGTATTTCATACATGTAATGATACAGTATTGCTTATTTTGAGAAAGAAAAATCCATATACTAGCAAACGATATGTACCATATCTTTTAGGAATTCACAACGACCTCGTATATTATATTTACTTTTGTTTAATCGGGGAAATATATTACTATAAAGCATACGTCAGTAAATGTTTCAATAGTTTCATGTCATTCAAAGACTCGTGTTTAGAATTTGAATACATCCATCCTTATTTCAAATACTAAAAATTTATAACCTGTAATGGCATATAAAGGTTTATTTCTGAATACCTTTACCACAGAGAAACATTTTCCTGAAATGTAAGAAGTGTTATAAATTACCATCTTGAAATACATCCACCAAATCATAATAAATATAACGAATTTTTACTTCATTCTGCGGCAAATCTGTATCATTGAACATAGCAAGAGTGCTCTGCAACACTCTGGTTTTAGTTGTAGTGCCTGGGTAAAATTAAAATATAGTAAACTTAGATGAATTTGCCAAAATGTGTGTAGTCATTTGATTCAGAAAGAAAAATTAAATTGTTCCAGCTATATAAGTAAAGCAAAGAATCAAACTATGATAAGATAAATAGGAATTATTTTGTTACCATGACATCCAGTTATATGACTACACTCTTGCTCAATGCACCGACATTGTTTCTGGCATTGTGTTCCATAACTAGGAAATCGACATTTTATCTCACAATATTTGCCAAAATAGCCACCAGAACAACCTAATACATAAAGGATAAGATAGGTAATTAATGGAAGAATTACTTTCTGTAAAAAAAAATTGAAAACAAATATACTGGGTAAAATATAATTAATGTATTACCATTACATATATTGGTTATTTTATTCCATGTGGAGCCACCGCAGCAATTCATGGGACTAAAAAAATGAAGCATATCAGAAGGAATTCTGTAATTAGTAGTTCTACAACTAACAGAATGTTCGACACTAAATATTCTCCGATAAATGTATGAAAGGTTTATATTTTTAAAAATGTATTTGTCACATGGATAAATTATGATATAGAAAGAAAGAAAATAAAAGCAGAGGAAAGGGAATATTTTTTAAATCGGAAAAAGTATATAAATATTATCAGGTCTTCGTACATTCATCAATAATAGAATTATAAAAGAAGGATGTGGAAATAACGAACAGTATTCAATGTCAACGTCCATTAAACAATATACAAAATAAGAGCAGAGCAAACACGTACCTGGGATAGATCCCATGGAGGAGTAAGCATTGGGCTCGTTGTCATGATCAGGAAATAACGGAAAAAATCCGTCGTCAATCCATTGTATAAATGATGGACTAACAATTGGTATGAAAAACGTCAGTCAGCATTTGACTCAATGATAAATTGTATTTGCTGACAAGATAACATATATACATGTACCTTCCACATTTTGCATCCTGTGCCATTGCCAACTCCAAAAATGCAAGTATCACACGGATAAAATGTAATTTTGAGAATTCCATCCTGTGAATTTTGTTTTTATAACATGTACATATGTTACACATCTAATTAAATTTCATTCAAGTATGTCAAAATATTTCTGACTGTTTCAATCCGGAAAAGGGAAATATTTCTATTCGGATATCATTAGGGTATAGGATATTTTTTATCATAATATGCTTTCAAACTATCTATTATTGATTTAATCATCCACCTCTCTTATTGCTTTTCGTATTATCCAGCTTTTTTGAAATTTCATATGGCACAGTTGTATTATATTTTAATAATAGATGCTAGTTTAAATGAAAATCTAAAATAATTTACTTTAAATACGTCATAAGGTTATTATCTGAAAAATTTTAATATACCTCCTAGTTGTATTGACCTTGACGTTTCTATGTCATTTGCTGTAAAATGAACTGATTTAATTGTTTTTTGACTGAAAAAATGGCCTAAGAAATATGAGAAAAGACTTCTATTGCGTCAAGCAAAGGATGACTGCACTTAACGCTGTGTTTTGGATCTTTTTCAGTTGCTTCTGTTGCTTTTAAATCTTAAATTTATTTAAGAAATAAGGTATCATTTTTAAACATCTATCAATTTAGCGGATATAAATGATTTAAGTTATTTGAGATTAAATACAATAAAGCCCAAAGGGCTTTATGATGAATTTTCCTCGTACCAAACCCGTATTTATAGCCCGATTCAACATGTTTTAAAATGATACCTTATTACTTATATTTACATTTGTGACTTATTGATACTTTATATTTGTTTGATTGTGACTTTTAACGTGTAAAATGCATTATTTTTCAAACCCAACAGCAAGTATTGTAATCCACTGATCGCGCGTCGACCCTTTATGACGTCACTGAGAAATTACGTCAAACGATTATCCAAACGCACATCTATGCACTTGGTTACCCCATAGAGAGAGTTATACAGTTATAGATACGCATTCCTTTCAGTAGTGTTATATAAAGGAAAACATTTGCAAATGTAAATATTTCAGTTTTGTATATTTACTTTAGAAGTCTATCAATTTGGCACCGAATTGAAATGATTTAAGTTATTTGAGACTGAAATACAATAAACTAATTCCATGTTTTTTACCTTAGTATTTTCCAAGTACAGAGAACTTACATTTACATGCCCTTGATTCAACACTATGTATGTATGAGAGGAGGACCTAATACCTCAAGAATGGATCTGAAATTATACTTGATGAATAAAAATTAACATGAATAAGAATAAAAAAAACGAGACCGCTATTTTCCATCATCTTATTTATTCTGTATGGTACATGTGCATTACTTTCAAAAGTTTAAAACGTATGAGGCCATCAATGAAAGTAAAGAATATTTTTGATCGATGGCTAACTATTCACGTGTTCGAATACAGTATCCTAAATAGCTAAAAACATGCTACCTATAGTAGTCACAAAATTACCTGGGGAAGATGTCACGTGGTGAATTATAATATTCAACGTGTCACAGCCCTTGGTTACAAAAGAGAGAGCGAGTGAAAGAAGAAGCCTTTTTTCTCTTTTAAACCATGAGCGCATGTTAGTCTATTAATCTGCTTTTAACGCAACATTTCTTATGTAAATATACAACTACTGTTAAAAGGAGAACAATAGACAAACATGTGCTGACTCTGTATAAAGTCGGTAAAAAAGTGGGCGTTCTCATTATCTGATGGAGATTGAAGAAATTGTGATTACTCCCGCCTTAGAAAACAGATTCGGACATCGTAAATACATACTACAAAAGTGCTGCTAGAATCCCAATGTCTTGTTAGTAAAATAATTATTCCACACATTTGCACGAAACCTTACCCGATGTTTTGAATTTTAAACATATGAGCCAAGATTTCTCGTAAAACCAAGCTAAACTTGTGATCCTAGCATCACTTTCCAAGTATTTTAAGAGGCAAACTTTACATCTGTTCAAATCTTATGTTTTGAAATATCCATCTTATTGTTGTTTTGTTTCATTATATTTGTCGCTAATGACAGAGAAAAAGCCGACCGGGATATCTATATACTTGAAAATCTACATGTACTTTATTGGATTATTGTAGGGACAACTATAAATGGGTGGAAGGTGGATAAAATATACATATTGGCTTAATAATGTGTCTAGAATTAGGGAGTGAGAGGTAGTTGATTGATCGATGCTAGAAATTGGAGAAATGCGCCAAAAAAACTCAAAAGAGTTAAATTACTTTTGTAAATGGGTTTGTTTTATGTATTTTTGTCTGCATAAAGAAATGATACAAATCAAAATAAACATCAATTGAAATCGAGAGATGTACATGTACTTTATAGAAGGATAGTAACATAAATATCAAAATACAGTCACAATGCACACAGAGAAAAAAATAGATGATATTTCTCAAACAATTTCTGTACATCTGCTTGGATAGAAAAAAAAGTTGACCTATTACTTTATTATTAAGATATTAATCGATGGAAAAGTTTACCTTTGTCTAGTATATAAAATGACATATAGAGAATATTCATTTTGGTCACGTTCTGCAGAAGTTTTGAATTATTCACCGACAATTTTTTTTGTCTGCTCTGCTTCATCTGTAGCATCTGAAAAGGAGGAATAAAGCAGTTACAAAATATAGATGCATGCTTTATCAACGAAATAGGGTTAACGGGTAAGTAAAAAAGCACATAGGCGTCAGAACCAGGGTGCTTATGGGGGCTTAGCCCCTCCCACTTTTTTTTTGCAAAGATGGAAATGATGTACGCATAAGTGTTTTTAGCGTAGGTTTATTCCACCCCACTTTTCACAAATTCGTTACAGTTAAGGTCAAAAAGGGTTAAATGGTAGCGTTTGGTAAAAATAAAAATTGGTATTGAAGAAAGATCGAACCCCCAACCCGAAATTAGATTTTCATGTGTGGATAATGGACACCTTTTTTTCCTATTTTTCTTTTTTTGCTTGTCGATCTGAAACTGTTTTCTCTTACACTTAGCACCCCCCCCCCCTCCACCGATTTTAAATTGCTTCCGAAACCAATGAAGCAACAGTAAGGTTGAAGGCGTTGAGTCGACGCTCTTGGCGGGAGTACATGGTCCAGGCTCCAGGCTTTGCTGCCGAACAGAAGCGTGCCTAGTACGCAGGCCTTGTATACTACTATCCTGATGTTTGTTGTCAGCATTGCGTTGTTCCATACTCATGTTCCCAGCTGAGCCATTAATGATGCTGTTTACCCAATGCACTTGTTTATAGCTCTGTATCCAAGGACGTGTTATTTGATATGGTAGACCCAAGTTAGGTGAATGATTCGACAACTTCAAGGATATGTTCGTCGATGGAGATTTTGGGAGTGCAGCAGACGTCCTGGCCCATAAAGTTTGTAAGGTTAATATATAATATATATATTGTATTGTTGTATAATACTGTGGTTTCATTGATATTCGTTGAGCCACAATTTTCAAGCATTTCGTTTTTGAGGAAATCAACGCAATTGAATGTTCATTGAATTTAGAAATTTGTTATTCATTTGTATATGCAATGCTTTTGACCACAAAATTACGTATTCTAGAAATTCACGAAAATTAATGAAACCACAGTAAATACACAGCATTGTTAAGGCTTGAAAAAGGGGGCAGGGCCTATTTTATACGGGGAATATTTACTGTTACGTCACATATAATATTAGAAATTAAATACTTTGCAAATTTAAACTGTATTAGCATAATAAACAACATCAAAACTTATTAATGCATTAAAAATACTTGCTAGTAAAATTCCAGACAACAAATCACTGATAGCAGCAAACTTGTCGACGTGACGTCATCTTGATAAAAATGACTTATTTTATGTGCTTTGAAAGCCAGATCAAATATATTTTTTCAATGTACAATGCATATTTTTATCAAACAGAATATTATTTACAGATTTTAGATAGGCTAGTAATACTATTATAAAAGCGTTGTTCAATCCGAATAATCAATGATTAGTGAGAAAATGTATGTAATTAATTTTACCGTGTTTATGTGTACAGGTTTGGCATGTTTAACAGGTTATTAATTCGCCTTTTTGCGAGGGCACACACTTAATAGTTTGGCATGTTTAACAGCTTATTATTCGATGTGGCTTATTAATTTACCTTTTTGCGAGGGCACACACTTAATAGATGACCTCCATTCAGTACAGATACTATTCATTTATCACGTGACTGTCCATTGATGGTGCCAAACTTAGTTCAGTACAGACTGGTGTATACTATTTTTTTCAGTAAGCATTTAAGTTATTTAATAATAAAACGGCCTTATAAAAATAAATTCAGTTTTTAAAAGTCCCCGTTTTTAGCCGTCTATATTCCATTGATTTCTTTAAAGTAGGCCTTGATAGAGCTGCGTAAAGAAGAATTTTTCTTTTACAAAGCATTTACAAAAAAATTATATCCCAAACTTATGAAAGAATGAAAGCTTCTTTTCTTTACATATCTTGCACTGAATAAACATTGTCTAAATTTAAGCTAATACATAAAGTTCAAGCATGATTCATCCAAACTTTTCTTTTCTCTGAATCAAACGTTTCCCTATCTGAGTAATCTTTTACAAGAATTAACTTCATACTCTCAAGGAAATGTAAATATTTTAATACTTGCATACATTGTAACTATTTACTCAACATATTATTCTCAGTTTACTGTTCTAAACAAATCTTGGCTAAGGAAGTTGTCTACATCAAAAGATCCAGTAACTTGTCAACCACATTATGGAATCCTCAAGACTCCTTATACAGAAGATGTATCAACAGAATTATTTCTAATAGTTCTTCTGTTTCGGACAGGTTGATAGCTGTACAGTAATACATCTATACATTCTTGGATATTTTTCCTTCCTATGCACCCTGCCAAAATAATAACTAAAAACGAAGTTAGGATAATTATGCAGATGAGCATTGATTTGTGCTTTGCATCTAATGGTGTCCAAGTTGAAGGTTTGTTCTTGGTATCTAGAGAATGATACAAACGTTTTGTTATACATATATCATACAGATACAATATTATACACTTTGTGTGATAAGAAATTACAATGAAGCTGATGGATTGTATGTATATGGTTATAGTAAAAGTCAAACTAATTTTAAACATTTTAGTATTTCTTACATAAAATGTTTCAATTTTTGCTTTAATATTTTTGAGAATGAAAGTTCTTTATATAAGAAAACGTTATGAACCAAATTTTTAAAAGATATCTAGCAATCTTTAATGTTCTTTTCTTGATTTATACAACACTTCAGCAAATGTGTCATGTCATTGAAAATGAGTGTCTAAAATGTGCTATTAATAACCTTCTTGAAAAACGTCCGCCGAATCATAAAATATATAATGTATTTTTGTTTCATTCGTCAGCAAATCCAAATCATTTAACATGGAAAGTGTACTCTGCAAGACTTTTGTTTCAGTTGTCGTACCTGGTTAAAAAGAATATAAGATCAAGTAAATAAATTTGCCAAATTTCTGTAGTAGATTGATTCAGAGAGGAAAAACGTGCACTCTAATGGTTTGATAGAATACCGAATTGTTCAAAATATAACATAATAGGAAAAGAAAAGTTTTGCTTCATAATGATAAGAGATGAATTATTCATGCATCTTTCACCAACTTCATTCATTTGAATACCACCGGATATGATTATCAACATATTTCAGTAATTTTGTTTGTTACCATGACATCCAGTTATATGACTACACTCTTCCTCAGTGCACTGACATTGTTCCTGGCATTGTGCCCCATAACTTGGATATCGACATTTTATCTCACAATATCTTCCGATTCTCCCATCAGGACAACCTAATGAATTTAAAGCTGATGGATGACAAAATATCTTTTTCTAAAAGTTTTAAAAGATAAAGTTACAATGCACGTATTCTATGTATTACCAATGCATCTACTGGTAGAATCATCCCAAGCAGAGCCCCCGCAGCATTGTAGACTAAAACTAAAAGTTTCTTGTGATAAGTTGATCTATAAATTTAGGGATATGTACTAAATGTTCGACAATAATTTTTTTCTTAGATCATTGATTTTACGGTTTATAGTTTTACTGCATATGTTACTTTTGATGTAAGTAGTGATATACATTGAAAGAATTAAAAAGCAATCTAAATCATCATGGAATATAAAAAAGGCATGCACTGTAAAAACAGTGTTTAGAATCTAAACACAAATCTAAACACATTTTTTGTATCACTTTTTTTACACGTTTAGCTCTAAACGTGTCTCATTTCTAAACACGTTAGACTTCATGTGTTTAGTTGCTAAACATGTTTAACCCCTAAACACTTATATCTAAACACATTTTTTGTTTCACTTTTTTTTACACGTTTAGCCCTAAACGCGTCTCATTTCTAAACACATCAATATTTAAGTGTTAAGTTGCTAAACATGTTTAGTTCCACAACATTAGATCCAACAGAATAGTTTAAATTATAAACTATCACAGGAAAACATTTTTTTGGAAGAAAAACATTATTAAATAAGTTTCCTAGAAATACCATAACATTATTGAACATTCAAACATAGATTTATTTTGAAGAATTTTAAATTCAAAATACATTTAGATTAAAAACTAAAAATTCATTTTGGCTCTTGTCAATATTAATCAGCTCAGCAAGCATGCACTTATTCCTCATGTCTGTAACAAAAATTAATCAAGCTTATTATTTTCCTGCAAGTCTTTCACTAGAAAAACACGATCATATGTTTTCGTCCATAACTGCAAGGAAGGAATCCGTTCCCATCATACGAATGTTTTAGAGTTGTTTAAAAATATACCGAACAGTATACTTCACAAAATTCAGTTTCCTCTTAAATGCAAGAAATCCTGAAGATGTACCAACAATTGCGTGGACTTGGAAATGACACCAGCTACTCTGAGACGTGTATTTCTGCTTCAATCTGGACCATAACCTGTAAGAAAGAAATGAAATTATACAAAAATATGTCCCTTGCTGACTGATAGCTAAACTAACTAATATTATGCAACCTTTATTGAAATCCATTTAACAATTATGTATATATGATACAGATATGGATATAGATATTTTCGATGACATTCTATAATATAAACTCCTTTCTAGCTTTCAGGAATGCAAAAATAAAAGAAGAAAATCTTGATCTATACATTTGTGTAATTGCAACGTTTCTCATTCTAGTCAATTTACGTAAAATACTAAAGTAAACAGACCTTTTATTGCAGTATTGTTGCCTTTCAACTGCATTTCACAATCCCTTCCTGGTTATCACTTTGGTTATGATTCGCTTCCTTTAATCCATCTTCTTTTGCTTACTCTGGAATTTTCTTTGTTTCGATAACCGCTCTATTAACGTTCAAAAATATTACGCGTCATTTCCGGGAAGATAACTCTGTTTGTTCCAGAAAGTGTTCAATTTCTAAACGCTTAAATCTAAACACGTCTTAAATCTAAACACGTTTAGATATAATACATGCTTAGATATAAGTGTTTAGCCGTTAAACACAATCTTAAACATGTTTAGGTCTAAACACGTAATGGATATGTTTATTTTCTAAACGCAGTTTTTACAGTGTGTATATATCTACCTTCCACAATTTGTATCCTGTAAAACTGCCAAGTCCAAAATGTCAAATATAACATGGAAGAAATAACATTTTGAGAATCCTATACAGCGCATTTTCTTTTAATCTACATGAGTGGATGTTATTATTCTGTAAATTGTAAATTCGGTTTTGTCTAAATATTTTCTTCTGAAAATAAAATACCGAACCGGAAAAGGGAAGGTAATCTATTCGGAAATCATTATGGAATATTCTATCCTGATATGCTTTATCAATGTCTATTGATATCGACCTATATATTGACTCATACATTTCACTGCTATAACCAAGAGACATAGTGAGTTTGTATAATTTGATAGTGATAAATTCCACCTTAAAAGTTGTCATTGATAGTATATACTTTACAGATTTAATTTATAGGAATGTACAGGTTTCGAGATTGTAACTAGCTAATGACAGAGGATAAAATATATCCATATAGACTTGAAAAATTGGATAAATTGTTGATTTTCTAGGGCTTTTTAAATTCAACAAATGTTAAGGGGAGTGGAAAGTGTCAAGTAATGATAAGTTTTATTAATTTAATTGGCTTCAGTATTAGTGCTTAACAGCACTCGCAAATTTTAAATAAATACTTGAAAACTATAAAAAAAAAAAAATCGTAATACTACAAAATAACACGTTTTTGATTCTCCAACAAAAGATTAAGTTAATGGGCTGTTTGAAATAATAAGGACAATAGTCCGTTTGGCGTTGGGAATGCCGATGTTCAATGGTTAGATGCGTGGTCTACATTAATTGAGATTCACACATATCCCTCATCTGAAGTCTTACATTTTCTTTTTTTATTATTATTTTCTCTTGGTTCAAATAGATTCCCATAGATGAAGTCGGCAATTTGTTAAATTGGAGGGTTAATCTATATCTATAATAATCAGTTTTAAAAGAGCGGTATACCAATTTTACAACAGTAAAATATTTAAATAATTGTTTCTCTTGCATGTTTATGCGGGAATAAAACCCCCCTAAGTAATAAAAACAAGGACACACAAAATGCGGGTATGTTAAAGTAGCACACAGATCAGAATTCGTCAGATTTGCACTTTTTTATGTGTAACACAAATAGACAGGAAAAGTAATGGATAAACCGTTTTTATCAGTATCCATTCCATAGATTTCAATGGGACTTACACTACAGGAAGCACTTTAATACGACATCATCATGTGACGTCTATAAATAGAAAAAAATGACTTAATGAAAAATAAAAAGTTCACACTACACCGGGTATAATTAACTTTTATTATAGTTATGCAAAAAATTCTCTGTATCATGCAAAACGCTGCTGGAATCCCACTATCCTATCACAGAAAATGTTTATCAACACTTTTAGATGAAACCTTACCAACTTCTTTTTTTTTATTTTTTGTACATAAGATCCAAAAAATGTCATTAGAACCCATCAAAAATTCTACGATTCTAGCAGCACATTCAAAAAACTATAGAATAAGCATTTTTGATAGAAACAAAAATTATATTTAAAAGAATGCATGAAGTGTTGAACTTTTGCATCTTTTTGTTACGAACGACAGAGACTAATCGGGGAGTAAAACACTGTTTGTTTTCATTATGCGAAGAAATCGTAGATATATTTAGCATACTTTATTCGTAAGCTTTTTTTCGCATGAATCACACATGATATTCATGCTAAATGCTTTCAAACTCCAATTTCCTGTTTGTTAACATCAATTCTCGATACCTTCCACTTTCAGTCTGATAAATACTGATCAAAAGTTATAACGACATGGGTTTGGTATTTAACCTCGTGACTAATAACTACATGTATTTATACCACTAAGAAACGACAAGATTTTGGCTGTATTAAGCTTTTGTGGGTTTCAATTAATTTCTACGACCCCAAATTGATCTTTAAATATAGATTTTCAGAAATCGTTATTTCTGAAGTCTACATTATATAGTACTTACTATTTTGTTATATTTAATTGGAAAGTAGAATATTTGATCGTAGCAACATACCAATAACATCCTTGTATTTTCATCTTTCACCTTCTGTCATACATGTACATCTTAACGTAAACTCACTGATAAAATGTCTGGGAGAGCCTGGGAGAGAGAGAGAGAGAGAGAGAGAGAAACAAATGGGCTAGGCTATGTTTATTCTCGTCATGTGATGTAATTTTGCTGAAAATCTAAAGATAACTCATAAATGCAGTTTTCATTATTTATTTGTTCACAGATCTAATGTTTCATTAGAATGTCTTTGCTCTGACCCCTGAGCTTTCTTACAATGATAGTAGTGCACACTTGCACGTTTATTAGAATTTCTCTTTAAGTAAATACAGATGATAGCAAGGAACAAGACTGCAAAGACAATCACACCGATCAGCATGAATTTGTGCTTTATATCTATGGCTGTCCACATTGACAAAAAATCTGCAAATACATACATGTATATACATTTAAAATCGTAAGTTTGTAATTTCAATTGTTTATGAATCATTGCATATTGAAAGAAGCTGAAATTAACTGGTAAATGCATTTGATATGAAAATGTATTTTTATTATACTTTTTTCTTTCCATTGGGAATTGGTGATATTTGAAGAAATGAACAGAATCTTTAAGTTGGATTCTTCCTGCAATTCAGTTGAATTGTCAACATTACCAGATGTTGTATTGACTTCAATTGTTAAATCTAGGGAGAGATTAAAAAATGTACCATGTCCAGTTGAAAGTAGTGAAATAGCATAAGCGTTTTCCTAGGACCAAGAACATTTTGTCTCAGATATAAAGAATAAAAATTTAGTATCTTATTGGAATATAAAGCAAGAGAATAACATCAATACTTTTGATTAAGAATTTCTTTAATTAAAAATTCAAATTCACCAAAACAACTAAAAAGTTAAATATCACCTGGATTCACGCATCCTGTTGTATGATTGCAAAGTTTTTTGTGACAGACGCACTCCCTTTGACAATCTTTTCCGTAGTTTGGGTACCTACAAGGACGCTCACAATGTGTACCAAAGAAGCCAGAGGGACATTCTCCTGAAACTGAAAATGAAAAATTAAATAAAAACTTTTCTTTCTGAATATATAATATTATATACACAGTTAAGTAAGGTTACCTGCGGCTAAGTAAGGGATAGGTTTTTGATCAATACATTCTTCATATTTTGTAAGACTTTGCTACAAGTTTGCACTGAATTCATGACTGGATGAATTTCACGTATACATGTATATGTTTTATCTCTACATGTATAAAGCTGCTGAATTTTAATTTACATAATATAAAAGAGAAAAAATACATATCAGTGTTAGGTAAAATAAAGTATCAGATTCTCTCTCATTCATTCCTATATATCACTGTGTCCTGAGCATTCATTTTCCAAGTTACTCAAAACTAAGACAATGAAATATACTTCAAATATTAAGATAAAGACAATTGTAGCGAAAATGAAATAAAACTTACGAATACATCTTTTCCTGTTGTTCTCCCATTGATAACCATCACAACACGAATCACGGGAAGTACTGCTTATTATGAATAAAAATTAACATAATTTTCTTAAACATGTGAAGATAGTCCATTATAATACATAATACATTCATAATTAATTCATTAAGTGAAATGTTTTTCTGTAAATGATAAATATCTTACAAGCCACATTTTGAATCTTCTGTAGATGTCGTAGACGCATAAACGGAAGAGGTAAGAAACAGTAGAGTAAGGGATGCACTGTTAGAACAAAGTAGGTATATCCTCATTTTTGTACAGAATCTAGTCTTACTTTCTATAGAATCAGCATTTTTCCATACATAGAAATTTTCGTCTTGTCAAATGTTTATTGATTTTTAACTTTCAGGAAATATTTCAATTGGAAATTTTATTGTTTTTTAATGAAGAAGGAAAATATAGCATTAGCACGTAGCAATCCGTACATGTATTACATGTTAACTAATTCTGGGGACATTGATTAAGTATAGAAAAATTTCCTTGTGTAATTAAACATACACATATTTCAATATTAATGAGCCTCAAACTTGAACACGTCGTTCCAGGTCTTTCTTTTTCATATCAACATTATTACATCTATGTGATTCTAAAATATGTATGATATCTTTGACTCGTTTTCACTACTATGCATATTTGAAGTTGGCCACTTTGTAACGAAAAAGCAATACAAACCAGATGCATTTTCCCCCTTATTTATTTCAATATTTCAAATAAAGGATATAATAGATTTATATGATTATCGGATTTTTATAGAAACACAACTCAATAACTCAATAGAATCACTAATGATCCAATATAAAGCTGGGGTACATTAGCACTAATTAACACCGAGAAAGAATGTCTGATCCTATACTGAGAAAGGAAATGAAGAGAAACGTGTGTAAGTAGCACTTTACTGCCAGTTTACTCTCTTTTCTGATATGATCATGACAAGAACAGTATTTTTTTGTTGTGCCACAGGATACTGAACTGATATTTTTATGAGAAATACTAGCTGAGAGGCTATTAATGGATGAGGAATTTAATTAAGATACTGTTTTAATAATGATTGGTTAAGAGCTGAACAGCAGTAGGAAAGGGGCTTTCTCCGAAGGAATACCATCTATGAAAAATTAAAATATGGAGACAATAAATAGTTATCAAGCTCAAAATTCCATTGAAGCGATTTTACATTCATATAGTTTTCATAATTTTTTTTTTTTTTTTTGCTTTCTACTTTGAAAAGAAATACTTTGTCGAAATTCCGAAGTACTTTTTTGCTTATTATTCAACAGTATCTTAAATGAATTTAAAATTCTACTTAGACGATAGGATCTCTTTTTAATTTTCTTTTGGTCACATCCAAAGGAGAAAGATTGGTTTATTTAATGTTTAAACAACAAAATATCAGTATAATACTCATTCAACGATGAAGGGGGTAAGCAAATTTGAGAGAAAAAAAATTGCTAGTGAATATTTTATTTCCAGTTCCTGACATAAGGCAACACAATATATTCGTTTAAAATGGCAATAACAAATACACACAACTATTTCTAAATGTGGAGTACTGAAACTAAATTAAAGACACCCCCCACCTCAATGTAAACATTCAATGAAGCGCATTGAAGTGGAAAAATTTTCATTTTAATGGAAAGTTTGGGTGTTTCTTATCGAATGTCAATTGTTACATTATGACAAACCCTTTTCGTTAAAAACGAGATAGAAATATTCGTCGTAATGCTTTCGGACCCCATTCTTTGCCACTTTTAACATAAGATACACTGAAATAGAGATATCAAAATGCTAGAAGAGAGAGCGTTAGGGGCCCATGTTTCTGTAAAACACGTATTGCAACAAATATATTTAAATACATGTAATATGAATTTATTGTGTTTACAGGAGTACCCATATTGCATGTATCCGTCGGAAACGTCTTTACTCGGTATTTATGGAGACTGTTAATATGATTGGCTATTATATTTGTGGAATACCTGTTCCGCGGGTATTCGAACAATTTTCCTTTCTATAGAAATTGACATGTCCTTACATGACATTCAACATTCTAAAGATAGCTCAAATGTTCCAAACAAACGGAATATTTAGCCACTTCAATGCGCTTTAATGTATTTTACCTATCTAACAGATTGCGTATAAAATGAAAAAAAATTCTGGTTACATAACTGGAATGATTAAACAACAGAAAACTGCAAAAGTTTTCAAAAACATTCCTCGCCTTACTATACACACTTTCAAATATATCAAAATAACTGTCAAATGTTTATAATAACTATTAACAATTACTTCTTTATGTAAGGTGGTCTAGATCTATAATTTGTATTAATTTAAACAATTGAATAACAGACCTGCAAATGGAAAACAAGCATCATCCTCATAATGTCGTCTCACGGAATAACGTATAGAATCCTCTGTCACTTCCAGCAGCTATCATACGTCCATTACAACTTTCCACTCACAAAAATATTCAACTGTAAAGTGACTGCATTTCATAGACATACATTTCAGATTTTACTTTCTTTCTACGTCATGACTTTAACTTTACAATCGTCAACCTTCCTTACTTATGCAGCAATATGCCTTAATCAACTGCATATAAAGTTTATATCTCAGCCGATTTAGACTGAGGTACATTATTGACAAACAAGTAGATGAAACAAGAATATCAACAGTCTCTTTCACGAAAAGTTTTAATACAGACAGAACTTATAGATTTGTGACCTTGACCTTTGACATTTTAAACTGAAAATTAAGAGGGATCTTTCATTGGCCACAGGGAGTTGTTACATAAAATTTCATTGTAAAAACTCAAATCTTTTTCGAGGAAACGTGTGGAAAAGAAACTGATAAAGATAGACAGACCGCTAGACGGAAAGTGGTATATCAGACCAAAAGTATTATCCCCCACTTTAATGAAAGCGGGGGATAAAAATAAACTCCACTAACAAAGCTGAAAGGAAACTGTGTTGATTTTCTCAGTTTCAAAATGAAGAGAAAGAACAGTGTTCGATCTTAAAAATTCAACAATAAATAATAAAAAAAATATATCTAATGAAGATAATGCTTGGACGTCAATGTTATGGATAATCAGTGTTTATGCCTTTATGAATCGTGAAAACCTTTAGAATAATTATTGATGTATTTGTTTATGAAAGGTCAAAAAGTTATTTGATTTTTCAATTAAATGAGAATTTGAAACTTATTAGAATGTAAGCTTGGGGTAATTATGTTCCCCAAACGAAGTTGGGGAACATATTGTTTTGACTCTGTTTCTTATTATTATTATTATTAAGGTCTTCCGTCTTCAGCGGAAGACCTTCTTGTTATTCTTCGGTTTCTTTTTCACTTTTTTTCTTACCTATTATTATTCTTTTTTTTCTTACCGATTTTGTGCACGCGATTTCTCGAAAACGGCTCGATGGATTTCCATGAAACTTTCAGGACTCATGTAACATTACTTGAACTTGATTCACTTCTTTCCGTTTTGATGACGTCACTTCCGGTCCGGAAATATTGTTGATTTTATGATTTTTGAAGGGTCAGGTTGTCCGCGAACGTTCTAAATACTGGCTTAAGATAGAAACGTGAAAATTTCAGGTATGTTAGTCCTAAGTCTATAGATGTGCAAAATGAATTTCATTTTTATCGGAAGTGCCGCGCGTCGGCGCTCGCTATGGCCCGAAAATTGTCCTATCGCGAATTTCAAATTTTTTATCACCTTTTCTATAATATCTTTTTACTTTGAAATATTTTGTTAAAACATATAGAACAAAAGAAGTGTAGAATTCCAAGATCTTTCAAATGATATCTCGAAAAAAGGGCTGGCCCCTAAAATTAAGGGACTGAAGGGGCCATAAGTTTTTCCTTTATATCTCAAAAAGTGTTGAGAATTTGTAATACATCAAAGAAGCAAAGTTGTTCAAAATTTCAAGCTTAATCTAAGGGCGTCGTCAAAATACGTCCGACGACGTCACTAACGGCCAAACCGGAAGTAGTCGGAAAACGCGTATTTTGGTAATTCTTGACAAGTTTTTGGGTATCTTATGTCACTAGGAACATAAAAATAAATTTTCCGTGCCTCGTCGTCACTTCCGGTCAAACCGGAAGTAGCAAAAAATTGCTTATTTTTGCATTAAATTAACATAGATTTTGAGGATTCAACCAATTTTGGGGCGTTATTTCTCATATTCGTTAAAAATGAAAACTACTTCCGGTCAAACAGGACGGAAGACCTACCCGTTGCTTTGCAACGAGCTTTGCTCTAGTTATTTTTCTTCTTCTTCCTGGGTACTTTTTTGTCCGGGAATGATCTCGTAAACTATACATCCGACTAAGGTCAAATGTTTTTAGGGTCAGTAGGCATGTTATGTAGATTTGCGGAACGAAGGTCATTTTGCACGCACGTGCTTGCAAGAGCGTGCACGTGCAACATGTGTAATGACCGATTTAATTGATATAGGCGTAACTTTTTAAATTTTTGATGAAATGCTTTGAAACTTATAATATAAGGATATATTAGTAGCATAGACAATATGACATGGTCAAAATAGCAAGATCTCACGCGCATGCACGTGCGCTTTGCTCTGATTGGCTGAAACTAAAGACTCAATATCTTTCTTGTTTTTCGACGAAATCCTTTGAAATTTTGAAAATAGCCATGCATTAGGATATCCTACAACATGATATATAGCAATTATCATGAAAACACGTGCATGCACGTGCGCTGCAATCTGATTGGCCGAAACTTTAAATAGCTATAACTCCCTTGATTTTCAACCAAACAGGATGGGATTTGGAACATAGATAGATATACTGGACTACTACAAGAAAATATGGTCACCATGCACATGCATACACGCGCATGTATGTGCGCTGCAATCTGATTGGCTGAAACTTTAAACAGCTATAACTCCCTTGGTTTTCAACCAAACGGGGTGGGATTTAGAACATAGATAGATGTAACTGACATCTACAAGAAGGTATGGCCACCATGCCCATGTATGCACGTGCGTGCACGTGAAATGAGCAAAATCAAAAAAACACTTGAATGAGCGTATCTTTTTAATACTTTTTGATTAAATACTTTAATATTAAGTATATTAAAATATATAGATTGTGTAGACAAGATGATATGGTCATTACGCACATGCATTCACATGCGCACGCGTGCAATGCTAAAATTTGAATGAACTTTGTACACTTCTGGGTAAACGTTTTTAAGTCTCAAATGCATCGAGTTTGTCTTATTTAATGAAGCTTCCAGGGAATATGGCACCAAAAGGGAGTTGTGGAGCGTTTGGGGAACATCTGTAACGGTCCCCGTTACAATTAGCACTAGTTTTGAATGAAAATAAAATTATCTAAATCTATTTTTTTTTTTAGATCTTTAGACCAGCATAGTCATTTTTTATCGTGTTCGGATAAATATAACTTTGCTTAAAGTGTACTGAACACAAACAAAAAAAAATTGATGCATGGATTGATATATATATTTTTTTGATTGATTTTAATTGGAAAGCACATAAATGGTAAATACATATAATATGAAGAAATCGTACGTTTTCCATGGTGCTTAAATATTAGACTTTCTTTTGCTTTCTTTATCATTCCATACAAAATTTTGCACAATTTATCAAACTCCTATTATTTTCCCCCACTATACTTGGTTAACATTATTCAGATCACCAATTTAAATGTAAATAAAATCTATGAGAAACATTGCCGATTTCATTAAAATTTTTGTGTTATTTATTCTTAAACTCAAACGAAACGTTACTCAAATATATCTTTTGTATTTCTTGATATTATATAAAAATAATGCATATTTGTCACTCTCTTGTGATTTCTACATTGTTGTCCCCTGCTTTCGCAAAAGCGAGGGGACATTAAATCACATTCGTCTGCTGGTCTGTCAGTCTGTCAGTCAGTCTGTCTGTCCGTCACAAAAACTTTAACCTTGCGCATAACTTTTGATTAAGTGGAGCTATGACTTTCATATTTCACATATGTATTTCTAGTGACAAAACCTTTCTTTGGGCACCAACAAACTTGACCCTCTGCCCTTAAACTTGGCGTTTGACCCACTTTTACACAAAATTTCCAAACGTTTTACTTTGGCCATAACTTTTGAAGAGTAGATAATAGGGCTTTCATATTTCACATATATATTCTTTGTGGCAAGCCCTTTCATGGGATACCAACAACTTTGACCTATTGACCTTGGAGATTTCTGTACTTTTGAGAACACTTTAACTTTTGCCATAACTTTTGAACGGTAAGGGCTCAGGCTTTCATACTTTACATATGTAATCCTTGTGAGAAGACCTTTCATTGAATAACAACACATTTGGCCTTTGACCTTGACCTTGGAGTTTGACCTACTTTTTGAAAACTTTAATCTTGGTCATAATGTTTGCATGGTTTGGGCAAGGGCTTTCATACTTCACATATGTATTACTTGTGGCAAGACCTTTCATTGGATATAAAGAACTTTGACCTTGACCTTGGATTTTGACCTACTTTTTAAAAATTTTAACCTTGGCCATAACTTTTCAACGGTTCGTGCAAGGGCTTTCATACTTCACGTATGCAAGACATTTGGCAAGACCTTTCATAAGAAACTACCAATATATATTTAATTTGCTTATAATACTTGTGGCAAGGCCTTTCATAAGAGACTACCAATATATATTTAATTTGCTTTTAAGAAAAGTTTAATCTTCGCTATTTTGCAATACGGGGTTATCAGATTCACTTCCTTACATGTATAACTTTTCATTGAGAAGAAATAGGGCTTTCATATCTGACATGTTGACACATTATGTCATTAAAAATAACATTTCACCCACAAAGACACTGAAAGCTGGGGACCACAATTCTTTGAATTTGCTTGTTTTCAGTATGTTTTTAAGTATAGGTACATCAAAAGTTGCGATATAGGTTATTCAGATGATTACCCATATGGGATAAATAAGAAATATCACTCAGTGGTATCTTGTCCTAATGCCTGGTAAGGTACCCTAATTTTCTGTTAGGTAACTTTTGTAAGTTCCTAAACTTCAATGAAAAAATCTTTGGTAAAAATTATAAAAACTAAGTAGGATATATCCTCTGGTCGGCGATGTTTTTATGGTGTGTTGTACTGCCTTGAATGAAAAGGAACAATGACGTCATAATATAAAGTTATAATCTACGCTTGCTTTAAGATGCTAAGGGTACCCAGAAACAATGAAAATATATTCATTCATCTGTAGTGTTTTTCTATTTAGACAACTGTTAAATAGATTGAGTACAGTTTTCGTATATACTCACGCGTGCAATCATGCACAGAGAAACACGCTAAAGTTATTTCACAATGAGACTACCGAAACGTTGATAAAATATAATTATAGAAGTCAGCAATAAATTCAAATATTGAGTATCATTTTGGTGGTTTTAACATATAAAATATACGTATGGGGAACGCTTTTAAATTTGTGTGCATTATTAGGTGAGTAAATCACACACACTTGCACGTAGGTATATTTTTCAAGGAAGCGTTAACGTTTATAAAATATGCCTAGTTAACAAGTTTGTGTGATTTACACATTAATAATTCAGACAAAAGTTAAAAACATTCCTTGTATATATTTAAATTTTCGCTGAATAAAAGATAATGAACTTTTGCACTTTATTAGCTCATTCGCATAGATACATCTATACAAAGCCTACACTCACTTGCGTAGTAAACATTGATAACACATTACTGTTTTTTTTTTATTTTTAGATATAATATTATTATTTCACACATTTTATGAGCTTGAAACCTATTGACATTTTTATATCATTTTCGGAAGCAATTTGTATTTTTGCCAATAGCTAAGATACCAGTTGAGAAAACTCAAATTAAGTAATCATTTTCATAATTTTTTTACATCTTTATCTATTTTATTCAATGCAAAGGATACATAAACAATTGACTCAATGAAAATGTAAAAAGAAAAATATCAAGGATATATAGACACCAATATCAGCCAGAGGGCCGAAGGCCCGAGGGCTGATATTGGTCGAGGGCTGATACAGGGTGTGATGTGGAAAAGGGTATGTTTTAATATATTTATTACATACTTAGTAATAAAATACAGAACACATTAAGCTGAGAAGAAAATAGGTAAATAATCATGCACAAACTTCTTAAAATGTAAACAGTCTATTGTCTCATACAGTTTCGGGTTTTTTCTGCATGTACTTCTATTTCAAATATCCTCAATTCGTAATTTTAAAATAATCTATTATTTATCAGTTAGATAATCATTACATTTAAAAAGTTAAAATTAAGAGAATTATGTAACCCCCAATGATCAAGAGTACTGTTTTTGAAGTTTAATTTACTAGGGGTCTGATATTTTGATTCGTATCAGCCTTGCAGGGCTGATAACCTAAATCAACCCCGCAAATCCATATCAGCCCTGCAGGGCTGATACGGCTATTGTGACGTCAGTCATATCGCATATGCAAAGATCTTGTATTTATTACTAAGTATGTGTTGTATATTTATATAGTCTTTTGAGTAATGTTTTTTGGATTGTTATTAGTATAAAACTAATAAAGACATTGTCATTTATACTAATAAATTTAAAATGAGTATTTATATATGATTCCCATTTCTTGTTAATTTTTATAATTGATTTAAAAGATGACAGATTCTGGGTCTAAACTCGATGTTTTTTTTTTCTTTCATTTCCATGGCTTAAGGTACCTGAATTCCACATTCAGTATACAAGTAAAAGTACCAAGAATACCACGTATTAGGCAGACATCCACTATAAAAGATTCCATTAGTACCATATCGATAAAAACCTACAAAAAAACAAGCTAAAGTTAGTTTTACACAGGAGGTAAATTTAAAAGAATCTGCATTTTAACCTTTAAAGACAGAACATAAAGAGTATGATATTAATAAGACCCTCTCTGCACTTAAGAGAAAATTATTTTAGACATCAAGAAAGTATTAATTATAGAAAAGTTTTGATTTTGAGCTTTTTCAAAATTAAATTATCCACAAGGAGTTCGTGACATTTAACTCTGGTAGAATTTCCCAAAGACAACAGTATGCTGGTGAACAAAATCATGTTGTTAAAACATTTTGATTGTACACACAAATACTCTGAAGTTGATATTAAAGAGATACTCGAGTTTCTGATTGACAATATCCATAAGGTTTTTGAAGACCAGATATTCTAACAATATACATGTATTTTAATTCCTATGAATACCAATTGCGCCCATTTGTTAGCAGACCTGTTTTTGTATTCATATGAATCAGGGTTTGTTCAAAATCCTTTAATTTGCATGAATAGATTCTGATAATTTGGAAGTTTTTGTTTGTTCTGCTCCATTCTGTAATGTTAAATGAACTTCTGATCTCGAAAACTGTTCGTTATCTCCACATGTTTCATTAAAGTGGAGAAATACACAAAATAAAGCTATCAATTGACCCCCTTCTATCATTTTAAGAATGATTGAATTAATTTCAAATAGAGTACTGCATTGTAGACATTAAATTTCGATAATTTTAAAAACGCATGTATTCTGTACCTAGACTATGCCTATTGACTTACATGCATGTATATTTCCCGGACTGCCATTGTGTCCGACCTGACAGGATGGAAACTATGAAATAACCATGAAATAATTCATGTTTATTTTTTATTTGTATTTTAGTTTTTTAACCTAAATGCAGATAAGGAACAGTTGATTCTTTGTTGCGTACGACTTAGTGATCGAAATCAGTTAGGGATTTGATAAACTTTCACGTTTGACACTGTCTTTAAAGCATTAACATTGATTCCTTTGCATTTGGGATCAAGAAGTTATTTGATTTTTTTTTCTTTTACAAAGTAAAATCTTTATTTGCTACACAAGAACCCATAAATATTAAGGGTTTATGATTTTTGGCATGTTTTTTTATGCTATTAAAAACAGTCCAGAGGGAAATGGAAGGCAAAGGGAATTTTTATATTTTTATTATCACAAAAAAGCAAATGTAAATGTACCTATCATCATATATTTTTCCAAATAACACTTTCGTGTAAATCTACTGTTTTTCTTTTAGTGTAAGTTAAGTGAATCTACAGGGACTTCATTTCTTATAAGATAATTAGGTCTTCCTGCTTTGCCAAAGGATTGTATATCAATATAAATGGACTTTTAAGTATGGATCTCTAAAACCGAGCTTCTTATGTATCTTCTTTCTATTTTATATACTAACCATATCCGTTGCAATGAACTCCAGTACTTAATCGCGAAGAGCTGTCAAAAGCATATTTCAATGTAGATTGCAGTTCATTGTAAGGATAACCATATACTAAATCACAGTTATTTCCCTCGGAGGCTGGGTGGAATATTTCCATGAAAGTACTTGATAGGCTTGAACCTCCAAAGAGTTTGAATCTGCTCAAAAAGGAATATAAACAATGAAAATAATTAATTACGATAAAGGCCGATTAAACAGGCAATTAAAATGCATTTCCAAAGATTGCATTTCTATCTTCAACTTTCCTTATTTATGTAATAATATTCTAAACTCTCCTGCTTATTACATGTATGTTTATGTTTTATTATTCAACTTATGAATGTAATAGCCTAAGAGCCTTATCTGGCCACGTTCACGAGGCAGCCTACTCACCAATAAGTTGATGTTACAGGTTTTAAACAACCTAGCTTGACATGGCATTTCGTCAAATAGGCGTTATTATGATATTGTTAGCAAATATAACCCATCATTTGGTTGTATTTTGTCCGACTTATTTCGTATCAGTTATTAGTCTTTTAAATTGTTCATATACTGAATTGACTACGGAAAGTTCTGTCAGCCTGATCAATAGATAGGCTCGCAGCGAGTGTGAACGCTCAAAAGGGAATGCTTACTTCTCCTAAGGCTCATCCAATCCCTGGAATTTCGAAAGGTTCTTGTTCTATGCACTCCTTAAAAGAATTTTAAGGTTCCTCAAAATACTTTATGTATATTGATAATGTATTTCTTTCTCAAATGCTGGAGTTATCGCTCTTGTGATACAATCCAGCTTAATTTAAATAGCATCTTCTTATATGGTAAACTATGTGAGTGCTGATAGATACACTGTAGAACCAATAGAATCGTTTTGCAGGAAACTGAAGGTACGTCTCTTAAGAGATAGCGTGGGTCGCCACTTTCTTTCAGGACGCCGGACAATTAACTCAATTGAAATTTTTCTACGAATTTTATCCACCTCCATCCCTCCAACTTTCTTTTTTAATAAATAAATCCATATTTTATTTGTTTCTGTATTGCGGTTTCAGACCACAAGGTATAGGTTGCTTTAAAATTATGTAATCATTTACATCATTAATGGGAAAAATAATGGGAATTATTAATTAATATTCATTGAAATATTATCGGGGTAAATAATCAAATATTCATAATTGTATATTAAATTGTAATTAGGTTATGATTACATAACCATTTAATGAGATTAACATCATTTTATCATTTTATGTAATTAACATTTGGGTTATTAATAAAGTCACAGTGGTGGCAGAGTGCAACATAACTTATTGTTTCTGTGTCATGTATGAATATGTATAAGATGGAGGGCTCAGGAGGTTAACAATGGTAAATTACATGAAGGGAGGAAATGCATATTAATTGAATATACATGGAAGTATGCTAAATTGGAATGTTGGGATTCGAACATTGTCAATTATGGATAAATATGCATTATATTATTTAAAGATCATTTTATTAGAAAGATCAATTTCGTTATCTTCCCCTTTTACATTAATTTAACTGCTTTTGTATATTATTATTTAGCCTTAGTTTGGTTTCTAGTTATCAACGAATAAGACCAGAATATTATTAATAAAGTCAATTTTTCCAGTATGTTCGATATCATTTTTCCCCTTTTTAATCAATGAGTATGTCTTTATACAACATATATTTATCCAAACGTATAGTATACCTGTATATCATAGACAGTATTTGTTTGCAGTATTTAATACAAATGGCTATTTATTGTGTGTGTTTTTTAAATTATAATTGAATAAATTTGCCACGCCTTATTCTTTTTTCCAATTGCGCATAATAGGACATAAATCTATTGAAAAACATACCAAATAATATTAAGTATATCAAACCTCATATTTCCGTAATTGTTACAGACAAATGCAGCTAGAAAGGGCATGGAATCAATTGTCGAGTTCCGCACGTACGACACACCGGAAGAACAACCGTTCCAACCATTATCCACAACAGATATGTTATACTCGTACCAACCTTTTGAATGATAAAAAAGGTAATTTGTTTATATCTTCGATTATAGTAACTTCATATTTATTGTTTTATTTAAAATACAGCTATGATATAAAACAATTTACGCCTGAAGAAATGCTTGAATTTAAAAAAAAAATCTTGCTTTCGGTATGTAAATTTACATGCATATTTGTAAACTACGTGGACAAATTGTAAGCAAAAAAGCAGGTAAAAGAGAAGACAGGTCTAGTTAACTATAAGAAAGGTCTTGGTTTCATTAAACCAATTCTCACTCATAAACTTCTTAGTCTTTTAATGTCTATCTGGTTTTTTGATTAATACAATGTACATGTATACCAATTTATTTGTGAAGTAAATGATAAAACTCATTTAAGGCATATGCTCCAATTATATAACCCTTATTCAATGTTATTTTAAAAATGATCTATTCTCACCAGATGGAAGGCTCACCCCACATTGATACCAAGAACTACTCTTACATCCTGTATTGCCACCGATTTCACTAATAACAAATTCTTCACTGAATTCAGATTGACAATATCCTGATCAAATAAAAAAAGAAGGATAAAAGAAAAGACAAGGCAGAAATAAATTTACATTTTTTGTCCATTAAAATCATAAATATACATTAAATATTTCCAAAAATGATTTCATAATTGAATCTAAAAATTAATTCCTACATGTATATACATGTATTAAATTAATCCTGTAACATCCTGTGACGTAAAGCCTGTAATTCGACTTTGTAAAACCTTTTTCTATGGAAAAAAGAGCACTCTTTTAAATCGAAAACGACTTGAGTATAGAATCCTTTTTTGTGAGCTGCAAACATTATGTGTAAATACAAGCTGTAAAATTGCAAGAATTATTAACTCAAATAATTATTGAATTAAAAGATGTAATTGATACATAATATACCGGGTACATTTACGAAACCTTGTGTAATCAAAAATCAACCTTGCATAGTCGGTGCGCTCTCAGAGTCGTTTGCGGTTACAACTTCTGTTTGCAGTCCCCTTACAAGTTCACATAGACCTTCACCACCACCACTATTGTCCCCAATGTTAAGAAATAAATCCGTCTTATTGGCTCCTAAATACACTTGATATCTGAAAGAGGAATTTTGGGAAATGACTATGTAATGCAAGTTACCAGGCTCACGTGTACGTGTACGTGTAAACTAAAAGTTAGAATTACACGTACACTTTGACATTTTGTTCTTGTTTAGCAAAGTATACCTGTACTTGTACTAGTAAGTTTTTAAATGTAAAAGTGGTTTATATTTAAAAATCGTCCGTAAAAGCAATGATTTTAATACAGGTATGACCGTTTTTCATAAATATATGCACTTACTTATGAAAAAAAGATTGTACAGATTTCTTATATTTTTGATCGGTCAAAGCCTGTTTCGAAAATCTAGATGTATTTTTTCAATTACTGACGTTCAGTTCTTTTATCAGTATTTGAATTAAATATTCAGGTTTTCGAAAGCACACACTTTTTTTAAAAAATAAACAGCAGTTAAAGATTTATAAGAGGATACATGTAGAAATTCGTCAATAGCAAAATTGATGACTTAATGCACATATTTCTGGTGCTACACGTACACGTACGCGTACACGTTGGTTTGCTAAACCTCTCTTATATCTTACAATTTATACAGAATACAACAGTTCGTAAGTCACATCCTAACATATTGTTCTATTTGTTTTAATTTTCATCGTGTTTAAAATTCATATATGAGTTTCTGAATATTATACATGTATTTGTATTAAACTTGTAAAATCTCTCGTATGGTTATTTTTGCACTAACCCAGCAATTATTCTTAAAATAATGAAATTATCCAAATATTTTAAAGAGTGACATTCTAATGATATAAGGGTAATTGACAGTTTATGTCTGTAATGATTAGCTCACCTATCCTGGAAGCATCGTATTATTCCCACCATTAGTTCTGAACTGTAATTTGTTCTCTTGATATACCGTTCTCCATTGGGACAACCATTCCATTTAGGGTCAAAAGCAAAGTCGTATCGGTACCAACAGGAGTCAGGGGTGTTAAAGCACTCTTTAAAAATAAAGGAAGTAGAACATTCTTTGTCCAGGTGAAAGATATTACCTGTTGTTCACTGAATCATATTGAATAATTAATCAATCAATTGATTCTACAATCTATGCAGAAGCATAAGCTGAACAAAATGGAAATTTAAAGAAAATACCTGGCTCCGGTAAAAACGGTAAAACAACTTTGCATTCATACCGATCGGCAATGAAATAGATAATGTTTTCATTCAAATCACCAAAAGAAAATTCCTGTCCAGAAACATTTCTGTAAT